ATCCGCCGCCGCAGACGCGACGCCGGCTACGACGCGCCCCCTACGACTTTCCCACCGCCGTCCGAGTACTACACGCATTCTTTTCCTACTTCACCTCAACATTCCCTGGGTTCACCTCCCTCCCCGACCCAACGTCCTGCCCATAAATACATCCATATTATCCTACTACACGCGACGCGATGTGTTCACTTCTCTTCTACTCCTTCCACAGTTTCTAGCTACCTTTTTTTTCTTCTGTTTCTTTCTTACGTTTATTTTAACTTCTCAATTCCGGAAAAGCCTTTCGAATGGACGTATAATTAAATGGAACTGAAACTGCACTTACCCGAGCAATTTATTATGACCATCCATTCGAATTTGGACGCAATTGCTCTTTCAATCTACCCAATCAAAAGTAGAATGTTATTGCTTAAAACCCTAATGATCAATTCTGTTTTACTATCTTTCTAAACATGTTAGTTCAATATGCAAAGCTTAAATTTTGTGATATTTTTCAAAAATTTTATAAACATTTTATACAAATTTAGAACAAATTATAATATTTATAGAGAAAAATTAAACAATAACTTTTACAAAAGGAAATTATTTTTTTCAATTTGTTTTAAGCCAAATTAAGTTTTTTTATTCAATATTTTTTTAGTAAAAATTAACAAAAATACATATTTTTTCCAATGAAAAATAAACGGTATAATTTGGATTTATTGAAACAATTACTTTAATCGATAAAATAAATGTATATAAACACGATTTATTTATTTTGCTGGAATTTTAAATCAACCACTAAAATTTCTTTTTAATGTGCTTTTGTAAAGAAACTTTGTGGGCTGTAAATAATTAAAAACAGCCGAGATATAAGTGTATTTTATTCCTCAAAAATATAAAAAAAGCTATTGTAATGCAATCAATGGTGTCCCAAAATTCATACAAAAAGTAATTTTGATAAAAAATACAGATTTTTAATTGCATTTTTTTTATGTATTCATGTCGTATACAGGATATAAGGATTATAAAAAAAATCGGCGCCGCAAGTCAAGACATTGGTCTGTCTCCATGCGAACTTTATGTTAATATATCAGAATTTTCGCATATGGTATAGCATATCGGGTATAAGGCTTTCACGGTTCTTTTGTTGGAATTTTCCATGACCTTTTTGCATAAATGTGGCTGAATTTCGTTGATACAGCGCTCAATATCATCCTTCAAGGAGTGAGTGATCGTGGGCTTGTTGGTATAAACCAATAGATTTACAAAGAAAAAATCCAACAAAATCGAATTATCAAATAATCGTTAAATCAATTGATCTGGAAAGACTCATACAGTAATTAAATCGTTTCTCAGCTGTATGACACGTTCATATCTTGCAATTTTTTTTATGGCGTATAATTTTATTCACAATCTGTTCATCATTGTGAACATTCAGAAAATATAAGATCACGGTTGACATTAAATGGATAATCTTTCTCGATGGATAGTTACCATAATGATGATTTGATTTTTTAATTTGTTGGTTGGCTGTCGTCTTGTAGCTTAACTTCAGTACTATATTGATGCTCTGCGATTCCACTATTTCCTTTGACTGTGAAGCTGCTGCTATCCTTAACACTGTCATTGTCCATCGACTTGGTGAAGCTCTATATGCTGAACCTCATTCATTTGACTGTTAATCTGTGATTAACGATGGCCCTTTTGCTGCAAGCACCGAGAGGGTTGACCAGATATTAAAACCGGCGCTCACGAAATCGTGGGTAGGACGACTTAACTATTCGACTGTAAGTTAGTTGCAAGACAGGGCAATTTAAGAAAAAAAAATGGATTATCTAATGATGATTTTTTTTAATTAATCTCTATTTCGACCACATTTTGTTACAAAAATTGCGTGTAGGTGCCAAATCTTCATTATTTAAAAAAAATGCGTAATACATAACATTATAGTATATACGTTATGAATCAATAACAAACTTGCGTGAATTTTGGGAAACCCGACAGATGCAACAAGGAATACATGACCTATCTTAAAGTAACATAATTAAATAAGTGTGAGCAAACGTGGAATGATGTATCTAAATAAATATTTGAGAAGGAAATGCTTCTTATTTTTATAGTGAATAAAATAAAGAATAAGCATCAGAACTAGATACGTTACAAAATGACAGTAGTTTGGGGTGTGTAAAGTTGTTGAATTTAGAAGATTTAAAATTTAATAAAAAAAATTGCAAGTGACTCAGAACATACTAGATGCATTCCACCATAAAGCATCATCGTCCTCCACTATATGTTAGTAGTAATATCTCGTAGAGCGAATGCCAGATTGCTGGGCCGCGGGTCGCATAAAATGGAATTTACGTTATAAAAATTTAACGCCGTGCATGGAAATGTGCATCGTCTCTCATCCCGTGGCTTTCATTGCAAAATGTATATACATATATATATATATGTGTGTATGTAATATTATTGAAAGTTGTATGCACGGGTTGCGTATAAATTATAGGCGGAAAGCCGGAAGTGGCGCACGGAAAAATAAATTTCGCCCGGATATTAAATCTTAAAGGTTTAATGCCAAACCAATGGCGTAAAGTTTCGCCACTTCCGTGCAAAACTTTATTCGCGAGTTTAATATTTTATATATCGCGAATACGGCATTTCCAATTACGCCATAATAGCATCAATCGTGCCACCCCCGCATTCCCTCCATTGTTCCATCCCTGAATTGTTGCTTCTCGAAGGAGAAAAGTTACCAATTACGTAATACAATGGTGGCCTTTAGTATTCGCCGCATCATCGTCGCCGTTTTTATATGATGATTATGATTATTTAGGGAATTTAATAAAAAGCTCCTTCGGTTTTTTTTTTGGTGGGAGCAGAAAACTTTTTCAATTTGAAGTGAATATTTCCGGTCGACGGTTCATTGTGGCGGATGGAAATGCCCTGAATAACAATATCAACAGCGACAACAAAAAAAATACGTATATCTGACTGCTGTCTGCACAACAGTTTTCCTCGTTTTGGGTCGCCGGTCTCGCACTTCTTTCGCCGCTTATTTGAAATTCAAATCTGCCCTTTGATAATGCGTCCGTTGGAAAACTTTTAATCGACTAATTTACACGCAATAAAGGCGCACACAATACGCTTCGCACACCGAGCATAACATTAAACCGGAAAAAGAGTGACTCCTCGAACGGTGGACGGTTTCCGGTTAATGACGCGCCCTAACGACCTTCAGCGCTTTGGGTTAATATTAAATATTTTCAGAGTAATTTTAATAATTGTCGGCAATTAGCTGACGATACGACCGAACTAGAATTTATGGTCAACACTTTTGCCTCTACCCCAACAGTTTTGCCGTATCCCTATCTCTATCTCCCATATACAAACTGCTACCCTTCGTCCCTCTGACCGTGCACCTAACTTCGACCCAAACATGCAACAACTTTAATTAAACTGATATGGCTTTTGGTAATTCTAAGCGGACATTAAAATTAATACACACCATATTTGGGATACGTGGTAATTCCGCATTGTACCTGCATACATACCAATTTTGTCACACATACGAAGCTATTTGATATGCAGAACAAACACATGTTAATCCTTAACGTTGATTTCAGACAATTCGTTTAACAAGAATAAGTAGATAATTACTGCAAGTTTATTACTACTTGAAAATTATCATTTATCAAATTGTTTACAACTCTAACAACTGTATTATTTATCGATTATTTAAACCTTAATACTTATAATTATTAATTTCAATAGGATAAATATAAAATTTTGCTTTGCAGTTTTAGATATAAATAAAGACGGTATAATATAATTTCAATTTACTTAAAAAGTTGGATATACTAAAAAAATATAAAAAGGCTAATACAAACATAACACTAAAAATGAGAACATTTAACTTCAAATTTTTTCTAAATATGTTATATCTATTTATTTATATAGTGTTAAACTGTAAATATATATGTTTATAAAAATGAATAATATGAGAAATATGAAGGATTGAATTGTTTTAATTGAAACTTGAAATTATTAGAATTTTGTAATATAGCTCCTATTGGAAAGTGATAAACTTATGACAAAAAAATTGAATGAATCAATAAATCTCTTTCAATGTTACTTTCAATCGAAAAAAAAAACCGATATTTTAAAAATCTAAATTTTAAATTAAATATTCAATTTTACATTTAAACACTTAAAAGAAGATATCAATTTTAGTTACAAAGATTTAGAAAATTTAGATGTCTCGTTTTGGATTATAAAATTATTTGAAAGGGACATCGATTTTTCCTTGCAAGAAAAATTGATTGAACTAAATGAGAATTTGGAATCCAAAATCAATTTTCCAACACGTAACTTTGCCAAATTTTGGAATTACAAAGACATTTGTAAAATATATGTCAGATTAACAAATATATCCGAAATGATTTAATATTATTGTTAACTATTTTTATAACTATTTTTTATCATTATTACTAAAAATTATCAACATTGACTACCATATTATAATTATAAAATACTTATTTTAATGTAAGATAAAAACGAATCTATATGTAACATAGATTCATTTTTACATTAATATTTGTTATTATATTATACAAAAGTTTTATGTAGATATAGAAAAATGGTTGGGAACCCTTGGATTATAATATTTAATATTAAAAATTGAATGATTGAATTCGGTTCATTTATTTACTATTTCACTATCCTAGCCCCACCTAGATTCGATAAGCTAAAGTTTCATGTTTGAGTAATTTGGGTTGCATAAAACCACCAATTACATTTATGATTTGCGCATTCATTAAAATTTTTTTTTTTAACAATTATTTATTTAGTTTAGAAAAAAAAAACAAGTTTAAATTGCAGGAATAATTTGGACTATTCAAATAAAACACTAAAACCAATAAGACGCAAATAGGTAAATATCTTATTAAGGAAATTATGAAATTCTTATTCAAAATTTTGTATTTAAAATGAACTTTATATAAGTTTATTATATCGTTAGTTGATAATAGCTTCACGCCTCATATAAAATTACAAGTAATATCAGCGTATATATTTTCAATATCAGAAAATATGAGCAATGTGTAGAAATATGTATATATGTAAATATAGAATAAACTATATGGAGATTAAAAAAAACTAGACGCGAGAGTAAACGCATTTGCCGGCTATCCATGTCGAGATCAGATCCAAATCGTCGTTCAGAAAAACAAAATCAGCGTCAGCTCCGAAATTGAGCGTTCCTTTTTTATCAGTAATCCCCAAAACGGAAGCCGGATGTAAACTGGCCGCTTCCAAAGCAAACTCTTTTGGACATCCTAAAAGCAATCGCATCGTTAAGTAGATCGAACGCAGTTGGTTCGAATCTACAAACCTGTAGCCTTGTGCAGGATTTGAACGCATTCGTTCATTGTAGCTATACTACCGCAGAGTGTTTCTGTGCCAGCTACAAAAGCCTTTCTATCTCTAATTTCAACAGCAAATTGGCCGATGTTGTGTTGACCTTCCTCTAAACCCATAGCAGAAATGGCATCTGTTACCAGAACCAATCCTAAAATACGTTGAATTAAGTTAAAGAAGTATTCTAAAAATACGAAACCAACCCGCTGGATGAGCTCTGTACGCTATTCTTAAGGCCGCTGGATGAGTGTGGATTCCATCGGCAATGATTCCAAAGTAAACTGTTCTCCCTTCCGGTATATTATCCGAAGCCAATAGACCCACCAATCCGGGATCTCTGTGATGAAACTTAAAAATTGTATGAATCAAATAAAGTACCAAAAATAAGAATGGTTTATCTTACTGGTAACATGGCGTTAAACAAATGCGTTATGAATGATGCTCCGCTGCGAACAGCCGCTTCTCCGTCCTTCAAATTACCCATGGAATGACCTTTGCGTATAAAAAATAGTTATTGAAGATGTGATCAGGTGTTTAGCAGCATAATAATTACCAACTGAAACCACGATATTTTCGCTCTTCAATTTCTTTATAACATCCAGAGAATTCTCCAGTTCCGGAGCCAGAGTGATGATGGACACATCGCTTAAATCACCGTAAACGTCCAGCAAACTTTTGAAGCCCTAAACGAATGAAAATATATTTTCGATTGCCATTGAGAGCATGCCATGACAGACCTCATCGAAAGACCTGATAAACTCCGGCGGATGCGCTCCTTTCTTTTGAGTATTTATAAAAGGCCCCTCTATGTGCAGACCCAAAATAGTGGCGCCGTTCTCGTCGCCCTTCCGACGCTTAATCTTGGGCATAACTTTGGCGTACGTGGATTTCGGGGACGTGACGAGAGTGGGACAAAAGGCCGTGACTCCATGCTGCAACAAGCCCTTGGCAATCGTATTTACACCGTTCTCGATGTCCTCGGAATTGTAGGAGAAATCAATACCGAAGGCACCTGCAATTTAAAAATCTTGATAACGAATGCTGCTCAAGGTTAAAACAATTGATTATCTGCTGCAGCGGATTATGAGACAAATATGATGATATAATTGCTTTAAAAAGTTAGACATTCCCCGTGTAAACAACATTAATGAACGAAAAGAAAAAGCAAAACATAAGCGTGATCGGTTTCTTTTAAAGCATGACTTGAATTTTTATACCGACTGTTGCCTTGACACACAAATGAGAAGCCTTATTAAACATAGATGTTCTCTAACCGTTTATCTGCAACTCGATGAATCCCGGCGCGACGATCGCATCCTGGCAGTCGATCTGCACGTCGGCCTGGATCTTCTCGTCGAAGAAGATCTTCTCCGGGTCCACAACCTTACCATCTCGTACCCATATATCATCCCTAACAATTTCGTGGTTCCGCAGGATGCGACAATTCCGGAACTGCCTCAGCATAACTTATCTGGTTCGCAAATATTTACTTCTTTAAAGGTTATCACAGATAGTGGATAGGTTCGTTGACTCAACGGAGCGCAACTTACACAACACCAATCACCAATGCAGCGGAGCGCACAATGGAAACGAGCGAATGCGAGCCTCGACGTTGATCGCACAGTATTTCTGGAATTATTATCCACTTATCTGCCTCCTTCTGTTCGACTCTGCACAATAGCTACACCTTTATTCATGTTTACCCACTGATAAACATTAATGACGGAATGTCAGCCCAAAGAAAACGTGAACTTTAATCCGAACATTGAACCACTTAAGCTCCAGTTAATAATGGGAATCTTTTAGTTTACGATTTAAACTAACAAATCTATTTTTTATTCTCAACTGCTGAATATGATATAATAATTTTTATAACAACAAATTAATATTAGTTGAGCAATAAACATGTATAGTAAGTGTAATCACATATTAGATAAAAATGAGGTTTGCGTAGGTTTACGATTTCCGCTTTTGTGCAAACAAAATGTAAGTAAATTTGAAGACACTCAAAACATATTTTATTGATTTAACACTCAAGAATTTTAATTGGGCAAGTTTAATAAATTTTATGAAAGAAAAACAAAATATACAAAAACTTACCTAATTAACTCCAACGTTGACTCATGTATAAAAAAACCTTAATTACCACGAAATATTATGCCACAGCTTGCAGTTAAATCTCAACATCATTAAATTACCAATAAAACAACTGTGTGTACATTTAACTTGTTTCCAGAAAACAAGAATCACCAAACCGTTCTGTTCTGTTTCTTCCACTCTGAAATAGAGCGGAAGAATGTAACTTAGCTCGCACAATGGAGTGCATGTAGCCAAGTCAATGCCGTATTAAATACTAAATAAAATTACATATTAGCTGTTATAAGGTACAAGCATCAACAAGTAGACATTAATTACATCTATACAAAAAGTTAAATAAACAAACTATAAAATAAACCGATAAGAATAGATAAATTCAACAAACAAATAAACATTAGGCTTGTAAGTCAAAAAGTTATGTCTGATTCAGCGGTATTAAAGTCGTAGTTATTGCTCCTTGATTGGAACAGATCTATAGATGAAATAATTGAGCCGATCGCTAAATCGCAGTCGAATACTGAGCTTGCTGAAGGATATCGATCAGTTGGCGAATAGTGTTCGATTTAATATCGTCCTCGGATCTAGGCATAAAAGTCAGTTTCAGAGAATTCTCTTTCCTGCTTTGCTTAAAGTTGCATTATTGGTTGCATCTAAGGTTCGAGCTTTCTTCTGATTGGGTGAGAGTACTTCTCCGGCAACATTCTTGTTTTTAAGGACTTAAGACTTAACTTTATTTGTTTTGTTCTATACCACTCTCGCAAGGATTGTTTCATTTGATTAACGTAGCTCGGAAGCATGTCCGATAGAGAATCCTCGCACGATTGTAGTGTTTTGGGGGAAATCTCTATCAAATACGGAATTGAAGGTCGAGGTTTTATAACGCTGCTTCTTGTTATGAGTAATTGCGTCTGATCATCGTCTCCTTGATTGTCTTTGATACTCACCAAATAGTAAACAACATTTTTTTTAATCTGGCGCTAAAGTATACATTTGTGTTTCATTTCTGAAAAAAATACAACATCTGTAGCTCCAGATGCTTGCTTTCATGTAGAGAATTGTGAAACTCAACATTGTAAAACAAGAAAATATGTTTTTTTTGGAATGGATGAGAGGACGTTAGGATATAAAAGAATGGACGACGGCAAAAAAAAAACAACAAAAATACATTTTTTTGCCTGTCCGCAATTCGTTTTTTTTTCATCTCTTGTATCGTTTATAAATATTTATTTCAAAAAGAAAAACCAAAAAACTTACAAATTAACAACCTCAGTACATTTCAAAATAAATTAAACAGTTTCCAAAAATATGAAGCTTAAACAGCTCCTGAAACCCTGAATAACCACTGTTTATTATTTTTTTTTATTAGTTTTCATATAGAACAGAAGGCGCAATATATATTTTCATTTCATTTATTTACTAAATATATATATATATACTTCAATATCATATATATACAATGAAAAAAATTTGGATTTCAGATTAAATATATCATAAATATTCACTTCTGTTTTACAATTCACCCGACAATATAGGACATTTGATTTTTTTCTGTTACAGTTGTCTTTTTTTTCTGCATTTGCTTTTATGTTAGAGAGAACGGAAACAAATTGGCTTTGTAAATGACGAATACAATATTACAATATATATAATACATATAAAAAAAACTGAAATACAAATTTCCCCCACCGCAAACGGCGGGACAAACACACTTGTATATAATGTATATTATGTATGTATATAATTAAATAAATTTGATTTCCTGCAGTCGAAACATTGTTAAAAACATTATCATATATATATAAATATAAGTAAATATGAAACAAAGTACAATTGTATATATCTGGGGTTAAGCAGAGAAACAAGAGTGTGCTATATAATATATATATAGATGTATATGTAAAAAACACGAGTTAAATATAATACAGTACATGTAGAGGAAATCGGAGATAAAGTCCGATGATACAATTGTTATCGATTTGCAAAACGTTAATTTTCCTTTTTTTTGTCTTCATTGCCTATAAATTGATTGTTTGATTATTTCGGAATAAATCTCTGTTGATGCTCGAGCGCTTAACAAGAGTGCGATCAACAGAAACCTATTGCCTAGGTTTCATGTTCACATCAAAAATACTTTTATAAAAAACACCGTAAATGCCAGACAGCTCAGCTCGGCTGCTTTTCACGAGGCGGGGGTAACAAACACACTTTTAAATTACTTGTAAACTAATTACGACGCTTCAAAACGACTCGCAACAACGTAATTTTAGTTTAAACAGTGAGGTTCTTAAAATCTATACATAACTTTCAGAACAATTTTGGATTAGTTTCGTTTACGGTTTCAGTTAAGCGGCACAAACGTTCACATACACATATTACTTTTTTTTTTTTTTTCAAATTTAACATTTACAAACAGGAAAGATTCAAGGGCCAGGAAAAATATGTTAAGAAAACGGAAGTCTTCGTCACCCACCCGCACACCTCTAGCGTAGATAGTTTTCTTCAGCGGAGCGCATTTATCATTTAAAAACTTGGAGACACTACGAGCCTATAGCATTTTATTCATTCTTTTTAAATTTAATATTTATATAATAATAATAATTATCTTAATAGTTTAATTTTTTTTTTTGTTAAATTTTACTTTTAAATTGGGCTTTAGCAACATTACTTACTAAAAAAATCTTTGGAAAGAGTTAACAATTAATATTACTTCAAAAATGTATACGCATTTCTCTTAATTCGTTACAATATATATATATATAATTATAATATGACAGGACTAAGACACAGTGATTTATTCGTTTATTTTCATATATATATACTTCTTCATTTTTTTTTTGTCAATGTAAATAATATGTGTTGTTGTTATTATTATTCGACACGAAAAAATAAAATAAGAAAATATTTATTTTTTTATTTATTTTTTTTTGTTGGTGTCCAGAGAAACTCTCGCAAGTCCCTGCGTTTTCCTTACATTTTTCTTTTGTTTGCTTTTTAAACGTCGTCATCATCATCATACGTAACATACGAACACTGGGATGGGGTTAAATGATATGTCGACCCACACTCACACACACCGAAAGATTTGTACTTCAACTGACTATAACAGAGTCATATATTTATTTAATATATATATATTATTTAATAATATGTAAGGTATGTGTCCGTTAAATCTACTTACACAAAGAAAATAGAAGAAGGATAACGAGACTGCCTCCCGAGGGTAGTGTCCTCAGCTTCCGGGGCAGAAGGCTTCGGAATGCAATCAACTCGCAATCACTCGCACACTCAATCATTCAAATCCAGGGCGATCTTTTATTGCACGAAGAATGTTTTTAGTAACCAGACAAATAAACCACAACACTCACAACCACTTTGCGTAACGAAAATGGTCACCGATGAAACCTCTCACCCTCCCTCCTATACATATCCTTCTACAACTACCCTAACATAATATAATTACATTTGATCCCCTGGAACGCATCCATCCTTTTGCACTCTCAACAAGTTAATATACTTAAAAAAAAAATAGAAATAAAAAAATCACGCCCCTGGCATTAAGTAACATAGTTCGTAAAAAACCAAAGATCATACCTTCCATAGCTTAAAAATATGTAAAAGTTCAAAAAAAAAAAAAATAATACATTATTAATAATAATAATAATATAAAAAAAAGAGAAATTGGCGACACATTCGCGCTATTTGAATGGAATGATTAACCTTCTCTTCAATGTTTTCTTTTTAATTATATATTTATATACGCCTCACTCCAATACTGACTGAGAATACTTATTGCTAGCTGAATAGTTATTCAATTTCATTAAACATATTGTTTCTTGCTGTTGTTGTTGTTATTATTATTATTAAATCGTTTCCTTATTTCATATTATTAATTTATAGAACCGACCAACTGGAAATTGAATTGAATACATCGAAAGAAAAGACACGTACATGGCGAAATATGCTCCCCTCAAATAAGAACCAAACAAAGGAAAGAATAAAAAAAAACAAAACAAGAACATCCAAAAGTATAAAATTAAATTAAACTTCGATCTCTCTCTCCTAATTATATCCATAGGAAATTAAACAAACAAACAAAATAACAACTAAACATTTATTAACATGTTGGTGTATTGTACTTGATTCAAGGGAAAGCATAATAAATATTTCATAAGGTATACGAGTATATCTAAAAAACGATTTGTTTGTACATACACTAAGACTGTGATTGTAAAATCATCAAAAATCTATCACATTAATATATATATTATATTAAATTTTCGAAAAAACAAACACGTATTTCTGCAGAGTTTATTATTTTACCATTAATTCTTTATATTATTTTATTCAAACATCAACCACACAGAGGGAAAAAGATCAACAGTTTTTTTTTCTCGCAATTTATGAAAACGTTACATCTTCTTCTTTCTGTTTTCCTGTTTTATTTTCAATTCATTTTCTTATCATTCTTTCTGTGATTGTGGGAGTAAATCTTTTCAAAATATAAAAAATGTATAAACGACATGAGCAAACACTATATATCAATGTATATTAATAAATATCTCAATTTCATCGTCGAAACCTCTCTTCAATGAATTATTAAGCAAAAAATGCATTGTGTATTAGTAAAAAAAAATTAAAATAGTAAGAAACAAAAGGAAACAACGATAACGAAAATCGAAATACAAAATTATATTAAAAAAAATAAATTGTAATTTCCCTAAAAATATATAACTTTGGTCAAAAATAAAATCAAAAGAAAAACAAACATTTTTTTTTTTTTTACTAATGCACAACATTTAAAATTCCTAAATGTCTAAGTGTAAATATTCATATTTTTTTTTCAATTTTTGTATTTATTTTTTTTTGTCATTAAGTAAATAAAAAACAAAAAAACACCTAAGGCTACTATATTTTGTTGTTGTATTTTTCTTCACTTTTGTGTTTTATTAATATAATAATTATTAATAAAACAACTACGATAGTTAAATTTGTGAGAATATTGACATCACATATAATTTCGAAGAATAAACTCTTCAAGAAGTGTAATATATTATATAGTGTATAAGACGTACCATGATTATTACTTCTTTATTTTCATAAAACAATTCGAGGTTTGCTTAGTTACTTCTTTTTTTTAAATTTTTTTAATTATTTATATTTTTTTTTTGTCTTAGATTTTCTCAAATATATCTGATATATACATATAATTTAAAAAACTCTTGCGCGCGGGTCCAACTATTTCCTTGATCTTTTTTTATTATTCTCATTTACTTGTATTCCTTCTTTTTTTCCTTTTGCTACGGAATTGACGAAAAGCCCGGCAAGTGCGTTCGCAAGAAGAAAAAAAAACTGCCCCCGCGCACAAAATAACAACGACAGACTAAGGTCACAACTTATCCTGAAGATACTATTATCACAGGCACGGTTCACCGTGGCCAATCGCGCCCCATGCCGGCGAATTATGGCAAAAAATCGATGGGACGCATTCACATCATCATCATTCACTTTGTATGCCCATTCATGCAATGATTTGTTTTAACGTTACTTTAGATTTGTATTTTTTTAGAGAGGCCACAGAGATATCAGAAGAACACGCACACCACGCACCACATTCACAACGAAAAAGTAAAATTTCACACATTTTGGAATACTACACGCAATATCGTCTGACAGCAACGAATTCAATGATGAGGATATACATCAGATTCGGTTAATCCGACAAGCGTGCATTCTAAAACCTAGGGATGGCACAGTTCGAAGGTCGCCGACAAGAAAAATCTACAAAATCGAAGTTCAAGAGAGACACATAAGAGTGGGAAAGAATCGATAAACAATGAAAAACCTGAGAGTGTATCAAAAAAACGATTTTATACTCCTCCATCTTTCAATTTTCCTCCTTTCACTTGATTTTTGTTTAGCTTTTCTTCGAATGGACCGAAAAATCAATCTAATAAATTCCTTCAAAAATTTTGACATAAATTGTGCATAAACAAAACAAAACTTGGCACTGTTTCCTCTTTTTGATAAAACAAAAAATTAAACACAATCATTCCTAATAAAAATAATAAAACAAAAGGTGAAGAATCCTCGAATGAGAAGTATCTGTTGCCATTGCGTTCATACACAATTTACGTAATTAAATTTACTAATTGACACACACGAATATACTCAATAATAATTAAAAAAAAACAATAATTAGGAACCATATTTATGCCTGTTGCTAAAATATAAACTTCATTTCTTTTTTTCTTTACATCTTTTTTTTCTTTCTCCGAAAAATAATATTTAAAAAATAATAATAATAAAAGAAATAAACAACATAAAAAAGAAAAAACAATCAAAAAACTCAACATATACGTAAAAGTAAGTGTAGCAAATACGTATGTAAATATATATATATAAATCTATATATGTATAAATAAACTTTGGGCAATTCTTTACACAATATTTTCATTATCTTTTCATTTCTTTTTTGTGTTTCGATAAATTTGTCTAAAGCTAATTATAATAAATGAAAGAAAGTGCGTCTCAACAACTTGACTTGTTCTTGAGTCGAAAATAGAATCAAAAGAAAAAAAATAAAGTACGACTAAATACCACCTGCTACATCTACTTAAATAAACAATAAAATCAGTTCTGTAGGTTAAATAATTAAAATAATAAAATTAAATAGAGATCATACTACTTGCAAGGAGGCTCTAGAGAATGTAGAGGGTGTTGAGCACCAGCACGTGATGATTGTTTTTGGCCAATGTCACCACATATCCCTCAGATGTTATCTTCAATCCGCAACATCTTGAAACCTAAAATCAAATTAAATCAAATCAAATTGCATATCTTATGGAATCAAGTAAAATAATTAAATTATATCAAAGTTACACTTTGTAAATTATACTCTGTTTACCTTTACATATGGACATTCAAATTCGGAAATAAGGACTCCATCACGACCGAAAACGGCAACGTGGAATCGGTTCCCATGAGAATCTCCAATGAGGATATCGCCGGCATCGGAGATGTCAATTCCGTTGGGATAACTGGTAATATTCTCCTGGCCTATGCGCCTAATGTAACTGCCTTCTTCGCTGAATACGACCACATTATGGCCCTTGAAATCGCACACATAAAATTCCTTTCCTATAATTATAATAAAAAAAACATTGTATCCTACGGTATTTTCAAAAAAAAAAATAGTTACAAACCATGGATTGCTATGTCAGAGGGTTCACGCATATAATCACTGCAGTCGAACCAACGTATCAAATCACCAGTTTCGGAGATCACGAATACCGTTGGACTAACGCTGTCAACAGCCACGATCTCACCAACTGAGGTCACCGCTAAACCAGCAACTATATCGATGTAACGAATGGCGATCTTCTTCAGGAAGTGTCCATTTTTAGTAAATATTTGCATGCGGGATCTTTCATTTCCACGGTCACAAACCACGTACTTTCCACTGGACCTCATAACTGCTACCTTTCTGGGATACCAGAGTTGACCTTCGTCCTTTCCAGCCATTCCAAATTGAAATTTGAATGTTCCAGACTTTTCAAAAATCTAAAAATTAAATATATTTTTTTATATATTTATAAATAAAATGTTATTTGGAAATACTATAAGACAGTCAACTAAATAATTACCTGTATACGATGATTGTTTGTATCGGCGACGACGATGTCTTCTTCCAAACCGAGACAAAATCCGTGAGGGGAATTAAACTGGCCTTTTCCAGGACCCAATTGACCAAACTTGCAACGTATCTGCATGGGGCTGACTTTTGCAGCACGCGTGACAGTAGTTGGTACATTCGCTGTAGTAGCTTGTACTAAGCTGGATAAGGGATCTGGTAGCATATCGTCCGGAGTTGATAGAAGTGGTGACGTTGACGATGAGACTCCGCCGAATCCATTCAGCAAGTTATTGGAAATTGTCAAAGCAACAGGCGAATTCGGACGTACCAGCATATTACCTCCATTAGCAATCCCGTTGTCTTTTAAAAACGAAGAAAATCACATTAAATTTGATTTAATATTAGCATGCATAAGTAAATTGGTTTATGTTATAACATCCATATAAGTCTAGAAAAGAATTCGGTGATGTTTAGTTAATGTTAATGATCAAATTTGCAAGGGAAGTGTTAATATAATGCAGATTATTAATTTTAGGAAATAAGCAACTCGTGTGTAGTTTGTAAAAAGCAAATGTCTTTATTTTTGGTTTCAACCAGTAAACTAATTTAGCTAAATTTTCGTTACAAAAAAAATCACACACATGACAATCATACTCAGCACACATGAAAGGAACTAACACGGAAAATTTTGATTATCTTTTTTGGTTTTAGATGTTTTTTTTTCTTGGTAGACTAATTCCACCAGTTACATTGATCTAAGAAATTAAAATTACCTGTATTGTTGAAATTACCCAGTTTGGCAAGCGATTGCAGATTTTTATAGGCTGTGTCTGTAAATAAATCTGTAAAAAGTGGCTGTGTATTTGAAGAGGTAGTAGTGCTTTCATTAGTTTCAGCTAAGCTAGCCAATTGAGCTAAATTGTACTCGGCGATGCTCGAGAATCCTTGCAATCCTTGGTTGATTTGTGACACGGGAGGCGATTGTGCAGCTAAGTTCAGTCCTTGTAGATTGGATATTAAATCCCCGCCGTCAAAAGATGACTGCATTGACGTGGGCAATGATATGGGACTGCTGTTGGACAGAGAGCCATTGCTCAATGCGGGTGGGCCGTTAATTGCGAGCGGCGCCAAACTCACGGGCAAGTTTCCATTTTCTTTGGCTTGTTTACACGTATCACCATTCTCGGTACGGAAATGTCCAAAAACCTTCTTCAAAGTCGACTTGAACTCATTGTAATCGGCAAGAAATTCCAATGAGTATTTGCATTCCGGTTTCGCAGTATTCTTTATAAGATTCTGTAGTTGAGTGCCAACTACATTTCGCAGGTACATAATTTCGGCAACGGTCCCTATTTCAAGAACCCTTGCAGCATACTTACAAGCATCCTCTAGCAAGTCGATTTCTTTTCCAACTTTCTGAGTCATGTCCATTACTTTGAGCTCTCGCTCACGATATAGATTATTCAGATCAACCAAAGCCTTGTCGCGGCATTTCTCCAACACTGCTTTGTAGCTTTGGTACGATTCGTTGATCAGATCGCGAGAAGAGCTCCTCTGATTAGCCAGTTCTTCGAGGCTGCTATCGATCTCGCTCGAAGCTTTCATCATCACATCTCTCTTTGCCTTGGTGTCCTCCAACATTCGCTCAAGTTCTTGGCGAACACGCATTTCGGAATCAAGGATGGCATCGTATTGATGCCCCTGATGCTCAACTTTTGCGCATTCAGCACAAACGGGCACTTTACAGGTACTACAGTAATAAATAACATGTTCCCCCGCATGCTGGGGGCATATCAACGGCTTATGAATCGTGATCTTTTTGCCTTCCTTGCGCATATCTTCCAAAGAGATCACGACATGCTTTTCGAAAAGGCGCATGAAGCGGTGGGCCTTCTCGCAATTGCCGCATAACAAATTGTGACAGGTTGAGCAGCGCGACACTGCCATTTCTTTTGCGGTGCAACTAGTACATTGCAATTCTAGTGAGTTTGTAACATCGGAGATGTTTGTAGTCATTACATCCAGTGGCAGGGAAGCTAATTTCTTAGTACCCACCTATAAATTAATTGAACAACACAAACATTAATTGTTGACAAATAATCGTTTAATTGTAATGCTACAACCTTCGTCTCTTGCTCGCACAATGGGCATATTAGAGATGTCTTCAATGTACCAGCATCACCACCTTCGTCAATTAACTTTTTGTCTAAACAATGTTCGCAAAATACATGCAAACATGATAACAAACGTGGCACATTTAATGGACCACTGAAAGAAAAAAATAATAATGGTTATAAATATAAACATTCTGGCATGTTTTCTATACACTAATACACTATATGTAAACTATAATTATTGACAAGGCAGGTAAATTTATTACGTAATATTTTTAGAAACTTACATAATAATATGTAAACACAAATGAGAGTGTTGGAAAGAAAATTAATAATTATAAAAAATACCGAAAACATTAACTATTAACAAAAAAAATAGAATACAAACTATGTTTCAACTAAATAAACTTTAAAAAAATAAATATTACATAAGCTTTCTATATTTCAGTTGATCATTTGGTTGTGGGGTTGTAACTTTATCATTAAACTTTAATGTATTGGAACTTGAAGGAAACTAGTGATCAATAATATTATGTTCTGAATTATTAAGAACAGGTATCATCCCCATAAAGAACACTCCCAATTATTAAAAAGTGAAGAAATCATGAAAAATTCAATTTAAGTTAAGAAACACTTAAAATTTATTAATAATTGAATCATTATCATGCACACTTATAGAATAAACTATAACATAAACAATTTTATAAAAAAAAAATGGTAAAAACATAAGGATATTACAATTTTATTAATAGTTAACCTATATAAGAAAAAAAAAATGAAGGGGTGAATCTGAATATTGTTAATTTTCTATTAATGTAATTTTATTTTTAACTTTAGAGATATCCAGTAAAAACATATACTATTAAATTAGTGTGTATTTTAAATCACTAATTATTAATAGCAATTTAAAAAAAAACTTTTAATACTGCAGTGATGTAAGTTATTGATTTTAATTGATTTTCAGTTAGATTGAAAGCTACATTAATTTAACATTTATTTTGCAGACTGCAGACAACAATAATTCAATATGTGAATCACAGTTGCATAATAATACAGGTAAGAGCCGAGTGTATATATAAGTAAAATGAATATATTGATTTAATTACCTGCAGAGTCTGCAATTGTCTGGGTCACCCAGCAGAGCATCCTCCAATGGACTAGAATGGCCACTCTTGACTCCATCACCGAACATTGTAATTGCCAGATCCCCAAACTCCTCCTTATTGTCAGCGACCTCCTGCAAACCTGCTGCAACATCCATTGCAGCACCGTAAGTTCCAGCCACCCGCAGCAAACAAAATTCAATAAGTGGTCTTGTTCCTTCAGTGGTTGGTAGTTGGTCAGCAATGGTAGCTGTAGGTAGGCCTTATCTTGCAAAACAAATGTGTTGTACTCAATTCCAAGAAATGTTCATCTGTGGACAGAGAAATGTTTGATGTAAATAGATGTGAGGGGAGGGGGTGGTTACGCGTGATAAACAAAAATCGATCAGATTTCCGACTGGTTTCCAATTGGAATTTTGGGGCGAACTTACGGAGGACATGGATAGAGAGGTATCGCTTCAATGCAGATGCGAGAAGTCCTTTTGGCAGCTCTCCTCTAATACACATGCACACAACAGTATTCAACACAAAACATTATTTTTTTTTTGCTGCTGCTGCAAACCTTGAACTGTTTCTGGCATATATATGCGTGTGGATGTACGCAGGACACATAGATGCAGGCTAGGTGTGCAGGGGACACCGTACATCCATTGCCGATGCACTGCGATAGCCTTATGGTTGGTGGGTTGTGTGTGTAAAGGGTATTATTTGGTATTGGTCGATGGGTGCTGGGTTTTTAGGTGGTCGTATGGTACGGTGCGGTAGTATTTTCGAAACTTACCAGTAGTGCCATGACGAGGGAATTGTTTAGCAAATGGCGCGTCTCTGCGTCTGAGCAGCGCAAGGGCATTCACGATGTGGGGAGGGCGGGCGGAAGGACGCATGGGCGCGGGACGAGGGGCACCGAAATATCCGCAAGACTCGAGCCAGGGACTTTTTCGTGATTCGGCGGAGATGAGGGCCGGAAACGCGCGAAACCTACGCGATCTGTCCGCGCACCCCCAGCAAAGATACTTGGGGGTTAATTGTTACTTGATACTTATTTAACGCGTTAGACAAATGCTTCCGGTTTTTCTTCTTACGAGGGAAAATAATATGTAACGGCCAAAAAAATATAATTTTAGGTTATCGCGTGCAATGATTATTTTTATCCGCTCAGTGCGTTCACACACATTTATTTACCATTTTTCGAAACACATTTAACGAGAGTTACACTTACCATATAGCGGCGATTCCTGTAGAAACTACCTGAAACGTCTGGTCTTTCTGCTACTGAGGCACATCGAAATAACAAGAGTTTTGCAATTGTTTAACCGCGTCCCCGGCCACTTTTGTTTGCACATAATTTTTGTTTTTCCTAATCATAGACTACTCCGATCAAAAGTCTTCCCAATCGGTTTACACCGGCAATGCAACTATCAAATATTTAAAAATACAATATAATTTCAATTATTAATACATAATTAGCATACAAACAAACAAATCGTTCAGAAATTTAAATTAAAATTTAAATAATAATCTAATATGTTCCACATAATTCAAACCAGTTGTCACGATACCAACATAATAATTAATAGCAACAAAAAAAATAAACAAAAATCTGCTTAAAGTAATTAACTTACCAAATCAACGATTAATATAATTAATCATTTTAAATAGGTACACAAATATATTTGTAATAACGTACAAATCTATCATCAATTTAAATTGATATATTCATCTCATTAGTTCCACTTAGCACCAGTTAATTGTAATGCTACCAACACATACATTAAATGTAACTAAACACAAACTAACATAATTCAAACTGCTTAAAGCAATAAGCTCATTTACCGCAGCTTGTTCTACGTTTAATCCAATTAAGTCAGTTAAATCATCTGGCAATCACAGTCAGAGCAAATTATATTTTCAAAACAAATGTGTAATAAATTGATCATAATAAAATATAATTTCGAAACCATTTACAACTTTGATGTATATACAAAATGACGAAACGTATTGTTTTATTTTATACATTCATGTAATCTATAGTCGATGGATATGCAAATATAGGTAGTTATTTAAATCGATGATTATTTATAGTCATAAATCTTGATTGTAAAAACGGTGAATTATTCAAATCATTTGTTATGCAGATTATTTTTCTTGTAAGTAGAAAATAATATCCTATATACAAGTATAAATGATAATTATGATGTAAAACAGCTTCCATCTTCAAATGCATGCATGTTTCAACTAAAATTCTTAAAGTACAAAAAGAATCTCCAGTAATAGATATTTCTTTCGTTATAATTTCAAGAAAACTAAAATAAATGAATTGAATTCATTAATTTTTAAAGATCTAATATTGGATTAAGCTGAAATTATTTTGCAAAGAATTGTTATCTTTTAAAAATACAAATTTAAAATTGAGCAATTTGAGATATTTTTGTATATAAATTTATAAGTTTTGAAGTAGATTATATATTCGAATCATCTTAAATTCCTGCTAATCCTAAATAGAAAGGTAACTACTATCGTAATTGGAAATAATGGGACAAACAATGTTCATTACAGATTTTCATTTTATTATTTATCCCTATGAGATACAAAAAACAAACATTGCTTCATTCTATTTAAAAAGGTTTTCATGATTTTTTTTCATTCAAGTTATTCATCAATTATTAGTCTCCAGTTATTTTAACGCAATCTCCCTAAAATAACACAGAGCACGTTTATTTGTATATTTAGTTATTTTATGTTTTTGCTGTTCAAGTGTTTTTTTTTGTTGTTGCTGAGAAGAGAGTAATGTTGTTCACAGATATCATTAAATTCCAACAGTATCATCACCAAGACTGTTCAATCTAGGTTCGCGTGAATATAGTTGTATTTTTTTTTTCCTCACAAAATAAAATTGACTTCTTTTTTTTAGCATCTTAATTTCATTAATTTTCTTTTCAATACATATAGAAAGAACACTAGTTTATTAATATTGGAAAACAATAGTTAAAAAATAAGTGTTAAAATAGTCTAGTTACAAATATACGCATCATCTCCAAATACATGAAACCGCTCCCAATCATTCAAGAAAAATATTTTACGTAGAATACGTAACAGAGTGTGCCTTGGTTTTCAGGGGGGTTTGTTGTGTTTTATCAAGATTCAAGATTCTCAATCTCGCGCTTTCTTTCTTTCTTTCAAGTGTTCCCCTCTCAATGAAAATAAACAAAAACTAAAAACTTGGATTACGGAGACTTTTAATTGTTATAGCTTCAAAAAAATAATAAGTCTAAAAAAAATAAAGAACAAATCCTAAACCAACAGATTAAAAAATACTGAAAGAAAAAAAAACATCGACGACTGATTTTACTTCATAAAATCGCAGGATCGTGTTATACAAGATTACTTCTTCCTTCCAGCCATCGCGCACTCAAATCATTCATTATCATATCATATTATTACGTTTCTTTTTGTATAAACCTTACAATTATATTATTTAACAATATCTAAATTATAATAAAAATACTCTGCTCTCCTTATCCTACGGGGGTTTACAAAGAAAATGTTTTTTTTGTCCAGAGTAATGAAAGCCACATAAATAATTTATAATAGTTAATTAAAAACGAGAATAACATAACTAATATTTACAAGTTATCTTATGCGCTTTATATCCGTTAAAAAAAAACATATTTGAAGAGAAACAAAGTTATATTCATAAAAGGGGTGAGAGAGCAAATTTGCGAATAGAAACATATTATTTTATTATTTTTTTCGTTTAAATTAAATTACAAATTCATGTGGCTTTATTTTGCTTATATAATATATAGAAAACAAGAATATCCAAACTTTATATAGTTTATATAATTTATATGAAGTTTGGGATGGTGAAAAAATAATAATGTAAGGGAAAAAATGGGTAGAGTATGATAAAGGGAAAAAGGGTTTGTTATTATAGAGGAGAAATATTATCGTAAAGCGCACCCTCTCACATGATCATCATCTTTCTCTCAAAAAATATATAAACAAACGAACAATTAAAACCTAAAGATTACGAGCGACGCGTGTACATCATACATACATAGTGTTACGTATGCCGTCGCTAATTAGAGAAAAAAAAATATAAAATACAAATAAGAAAATACTTTCTTAGGCAATCCGATGCGGCACATCTACTTCCAATTGTGGCAATAAATATTAAAAGAAAAATATGAAATATATCTCGAAAGTTATTTGTACTTATATCACTTCTCCATTTATTGCACAATTTGAACTAAATGTACTCACCTGATCAATTGTTTCGCCTCTTCTTTTGCTCTTTCGTCCAAACGTGCGAAAAGCAATGGGGGGATTGCCATCAAAGTTTTTTATTTTTGTGTGTCAACGTGAATCGGGGGGCTGGGGTGGATGTATGCATGTTTTTTTTGTAAGGGGATATATGAGAATTTAAATTGAACCCGTCTTAAAGAAGTAAAACAAAAATTAAATTAAAGTATTGACAACAAAATACAATTCCTCCTAGATGACGACAAGCGCTCTATTCATGGGTCTCTCGAGACATCGGTTAAACGAATATAATTAAAAAAATAATATATAGATAAGTAACGTTAAATGAAAATTTGACTCGATATTTATGTAATGAAATATATAAACATTTCCTATTCCTCAGCTGTTCCGCTGAGTGTGGTCCAGCCTAATGATAAAAAAACAGTCTTCTCATTATTAAGTTATAAGAAGTTTAATTAATTTTGCTGTTTTGAGACGGTTCACGAATCATTCGAGAGAATCATTCACACATTCAGTTTATATATAATTATATATACTAATAATTTTGTTGTTTGAATTGGTTGTTGTTGTTTTTTGCCTTGTAAGTACGCTCAATCAAACAGACGCATGTAAAAATATGAGAACACAACACTGCTATATATGTACAATATATCAAAGGAATGAATGAAGGCGATGCGCGAGAGGTGACTTAGACTTTCGTTTCTTCTTTATGATTAATCGTCCTCGTCTTCTTCTACTTCCTCCTCTTCTTCCTCCTCCTCCTCCGGTTCAGGTACAGGTGCCGGCTGTTGCACCATGAGAGGATTGTTTTTCTTCTTGTAAGCAGTCATTTCCTGCAAAGAGAAATAGACAAAAACGGTTAGCCGATGTTCCTTCGTCAGGGTGACAATCAAGATGTGACTTACTTTCTCGTAGCGAGCCTTGTCCTTGTCGGCGATCTGCTCGTACTTTGATTTGGTCTCCGGATCTGCATCTGACCATCTTCTTCCCAATTCTTTGGCAATATCACCAACGCCGTATTCGGGGTTAGCGCCCTTGACCTTACCCCTCTCATCGTGGCTGAACCAGAAGAAAGCGGATCTAAAATTTCGAAACAAAATAGAAAATCAATAACGCATGAAGTCTGAAATACACATTTACATATACGCATAACAAGCATATCCATTAGATTATGCATATCTATATTATTACACTTGGGATTGAACATATCAAATTAATATTGACCTACATACTCGAGCAATCTAAGCGAAATGTTCAATATCACAAGACATGTAATGAAATCCTAAAATCACAAAATAAGTAATAATTGTTTCGAGTCAAATGCAAGCACGCAATGAAAATAATAAACTAGAAGCAGAACCTATCGAAATCGAAATTCCAGCCGCGTGTGCTTCGCTCCGAAAATGCACATAAATAAGGCTTTTTAATTAAAATGCAAATTTAATTAAAACATGTAGGCGACGTCGCCAGCCAGGACTTTAATGTATTCCCTGAATTAACGCCATTTTCCCCTAACCCAATCCCAACCCCTGGTATACGTGAAAGGGAAAAAAGAGTGGCAGCGAACCAAGTGAGGGGGAGGGAATGGAGTAGTCCCGGAGAGAGCTTTGATACAGCCGCGTTCCGAAAACGAATTTCGGATGCTGCGAGCGGCGAAATTGAAAATCCCTTACAAAACAATTATTTGAGTTTAATTCGAAACAGATTCAACCATTGTCACGCTCCCAGCAGCCTGCTCCAAATAATAATAAAAGCGGAATTGCAAATTTCTTTGTGTAGTCAGTCGCCAGTTCAGAGAATATATACATTAAAAAAAAAGATTATTCTCGTATTAAATATGCGATAGCATAAAACGCGTTGAATGAATTGTTGCTTTTATTTATAACTTGATAAGAAAATATATAAACATTTTCCTGATTGCCTCTCGGTAACAAGTAATCTGTAGAGCACTTGTGCCGAGAATAATTGAAGATTGTAACTGGCAATTACTATTTAATTATAAACATATTGTTCTTTACGACAAAAAGGTAGTACACATTTTTAAATATATGTAATGATGAAAAATGAAATAGTACTTACAGAGATCTCTTGGGAGCATTAGGATCCTTGATTTGCTTCCTTTTCTTTCCCCTTTGCTTCTCACCCTTGGGTGGTGTGTAATGTTGCATCTCCAGGTCGTAACGCTTCTTGTCGTTCTCGGCCATCTCATGGAAACGCTTCTTCTCCTTATCAACCATTGTCTATGAAGAAAACATCGAAAGATCGGTTAGAAAACAACGTTATAAACATAACGCCTAATTAAAATAAACTGTTCGCGCGTAATTCAGAATCGAGCTAAAAAGGTTGAACATAGCAAACATAAAGGCATTCTTCGTAGCTGCTCTTTCTTGCAAAACCATAGATGCATATTTATGTGAAGATATATATATATATCGTTCTCAGTCTTTCGATCTACCGCCTTCTCTTTTCCAATGAGTTTTCCCAACCCTCCTAGCGCACACAGTCACTAACACACACGTACATATATATATAAGCCATGCATTGATTTTCATAAAGTAAAAAGATGCGCGTGCGTATGAACTGAAACTCATTTGATCAGCCAAAACCTTCAAGGGTAACTAAAAAAATAACACAAATTAAAGTTGTGATCATAAAATATTGAATGTTTTATTGAATAAGCTATTTCTCTTTGGAAACTATTTTATTTGGCAACGCTGCTCCATGGCTATTATATTATATACTTGCATGTGTGTGCGAGAGGATATATATATATGTTGTGGCTACAGCATCGAAAAACCTGTTTACCTTCGAACGAGATAGGTAATATAACGCCTGCCCGTCGGGGTTAAATGAAATGCCCGCCGTTCTAAAAATTAAGGCTCCTATAAACCTTCGACCCGACAGCAATTTAAGAACAACAAGAAAAATAATTATGTATAAAGTAATGTCTTTTTGCACCCCACCCCGTTCCATCTCTCCCGCTATAAATTATTTAGGCCTAGGAGAAATTATAATTGGCTATGCGTGGGAGCACACGCAAGATGAAAGAGCCGGGGAGAGAGAATTAAAAAATCAATAGCTTCAACCCCTTTTTACGTCACACCGCCCCTGGGCAACGCCAACACGAGGAGGAATGGTAAGAGGATAGGAAACAAATTTGTGTTCCCTTCCACGTAAACAACATTCCTTGCTTATGTAGATAGCGAGAGGAAAGTTGATTCTATTAAATTTATTACTGAATTTCAGAAGTAATGCCCAGGATGCAGGCGGAAAACAAAAGTATTCGAAGCCCAAGCAAGGCTCGAAATTGATTTTCCCCTTACGAGTTGAGCTTTCTTAATATAATGAAAGCTTCCATTGAAAGGATAACAAACATGTATGTACGATTATTCACTTACCTTCCATCTTTCAGCACACTTCTTCGAGAACTCGGCAAATACAACGTTCTCTTCTGGGTGTTTCTTCTTGTGTTCCTCGCGGCAAGTTTGAACGAAGAAGGCGTAGGCGGTCATGCGACCCCTGGGTCTAGCATCAGCTTTACCACGCGGCATTCTGGTCTTGTGAGGTACAGGTGGATGTACCGCTGTTATCTGATGATGATTCAGCTGATGATTTGCGACAGGTGGATGGCCCTGCGTCTGCTGACTGTGCAACTGATTCTGGTGATTAGCCTGCTGTTGCCTATGTGCTGCTTCAACGGCTTGCCTGTGCAATTCGTGCGCCTCGACTTGCTGTCTATGATGCGCCTCTGCCTGTTGTCTCTGTACTTCTTGCCTTTGAGCCTCTGCAAAGTTAGCCTGCTGCTGGGACTGTGACTGAAACCAAAGCAATAGGCCTTTACGTACAACTGCACACACAAGGGTAAATATTATTTTGCAATGAGCATTGCCAAACGATCTCTAATTTCTAACGACTCTCCCCCCATCCAAAAATGTTGTTAAGGGTACGAATTAGAGTAGGGGGTAGGTAGAAAAACTAAAAGGTTGGACGTGTAACAAAACAAAATAACGAGAAAAAAAAGGTCGTGGAAACTTTCTGAAATCGTTAAACCCTCGGCGTTTCCGTTCCGTTTTACGGTCCCATTGTCCCAATATTATTATTGTTGCGATGAAACTATATAAGAACGCGCGCACAGCAGATTTCAGTAAAATTATTTACTTCCTGTGCTGCTAATGAAATCATTAATGTATTTTAATTATATTCAATTGAAGCTGCAAATGATTCTCGCTCTCATTGCATTATTATTAAAGCTACGCGGCGCGAAACGTAATTTATTATTGCATTTTCAACATTTTAGGGTTTCATATACCTGAGAATTTTCTCAGGATTAGTTTTTCTACCCAAAATTGTTTTCAAATTCTAAAGGCATTGTGTTGTTCCGTAGAAGTCGGGTATCTTTTATTTATGAGCTGGACCCCCTTTGCTGGGCCCTAAGGCTATTTTCCGTTAGACCATGGAAAATAATATATACCTGGGTAACGCGACGAGCCCAGTACTTTTCCACAATTTGGAGATTGGATATTTAGCGAACTAGACTCGATCGATATCGGGAACGCAATGTTCTAATCTAATGAATTTCCTTCCATCGATCCGTCGCGTACCAAATGTGCTTCGTACATGTTTCACGTTGCGTGGAACAGAAAAACGGGTTTTTCTTTGACCCACGGCTTTTCGGGCCCAATCGATTCGGCTATAGAGTAGATTTTTAACAATTATTTTATGAGAGGCTGTGTGAGTGTGTATATATATATACGAGCGCCAATGGTCGTGCCGCACCCAAGAGCAAGAACCAAGACCACCTGTCTTGACCTCCAATGAGGCGAACAGATAATGACCCTATAACCGTGGCGAGCCATTGGAAGACACCATCACGTTCCGAAATAAATAAAGAATAAAAAAAAAGAGAAAGAAATGAATAAAATTACATTGGAGAGACCAGAGCGAAATTAAATTAGATCGAGGCCTAAAAAATATATAAATGAAACAAGAAAAAACGGTTTGTAATAATTAAGTACGGGAGCATGGCTAATTTAAATATTATTTACGTTGGAGTGTAATAAATTCTTGCAGCCGGAGCAAGAGGGGGTTGATTTATATGTGTAGTAGGGTGGGTTTTACATAATAGAAATTTTGCGAGTTGCAATTGATTTGGACGTCCGTAGGGTCGGTATGATGTATGGCGATACATTCTCTTTTTTTTTGCTTTGTGCACGAAACGGGGCTGGGGGCGCTTGTAATTTACAATTTATATGCACGCGTTATTTGAATTTCAGTACAAAAAATATGTGTGTATAACTAAAGATAGATAGAGAGAGAGAGAGATTTATGTAAGTGTATTGTTTTCGTAATTTTTGAATATACCTACCACTGGAGGAGGAGTATGTACAGGTTGCATATTTTGCATATTAGGATTGTTCGGTTGTTGCATATTGTTTTGTCCGTTATTTTGAGGCTGCTGCATGTTATTACTTTGCATAGAATTGTCCATTGCACTAGGATACCACCATTGGGCGGCAGGCGCTGGCGCGCTCATCGCCGGATTTCCGCCCGCCATGCCGCCCCCGAGTCTATAATCATAACCCCTAATACCCGCCGCCCCGACCGGGGACGTGGAAGACACATTCGAGATGGTGGTCGCGGGATTCTGGAAGCTACTGGCCATTTTGTAGGAAAATATTTGCTCTTGCTGAGTCGGGGCTGCCGTGCTAATTTGCTGCTGCTGTTGTTGCTGCTGCGACTGCTGCTGCTGAGGGGCTTGGGATGGGGGCTGCTGCTGTTGTGGGGGTGGCTGCCCCGCCGCCAATTGCTGCTGGTGCAGCATGTGCTGGTGATGCTGCAGGGTCTGCTGATCAGCGGCGACCGCTCCAGACCACCACATCCCGTCTTCCCTACCGCCCCAATTGCCTCTGTGATGTTCCGACATGACTACCTAGGGGTAGCAAAGTCGTACCCGTTTTACTCAATCTTATGGGCGCTCAAGAACATGCGATTTCCAAGAAATCGGATACAAATAGTACGCAAAATATAATGAGATTTATCTATAGTCGTGTGTACGTAGATATTTATAATATATAAATATTATAAGAGTGTGCAAAAGCGACCACCAAATAAAATGAAAAAATAAATGATAAAAAGGACGAAACAACGGAAGAGAGCGAAGAGCCGAAACGGACGTGAGTGTGCGTCGGGTGGAAAGAAGATGAAGTTCGACTTCGGTTTCTTACAACCGACGGCAGAAACCGGCGAGCGTGAATGTTTTTAAGATTTTCCTAGGAGACCACGACGCTCCGGTCCACATTATTTTCACTAATGATGGTTGTTATACTCGGCTATGTATGCTGCTGCTCTAGGTAAATCCAACAAGAAGACGTTGTTGAAAGGTAAACGAAGAAATATGCAGGACGCACACCAACCACACGATGTATATCACAAATTACAGATGGAACCAACAAAAAAAAACTTCGGAACGTTTCTTACTCACTCTCGCACATTCACTCCGCACACCACCATACACAGAACGAGCACAGGAGGAACGGATAACGACGACGACGTTGGCGGCGGTGGAAAAACGACGGCGGCGGCGACGGCGGTTTTCAAAAGATCGGTACGTATGCGTAATGAGGAGATAGAACGACGCTCCTTCGCGATTAAAATTATTATTGTTTTTCGTTTCGAGAAATAATACGAACAAGGGTAAAAAAAAGTTGGGTTCTGAAACGAAATTGCCCCGCTCGGGCACGCGAGTTTTCGTGGTATGTGTGTATGTATGTTGGTTTGGTTTGGTTGGTTCGTAAAATTCCTTTCGATACACGGCGTGAGTGTTGCTGAAATCTGGCAACACGGGCAGGTTTAAGGGACGCCAATACTCAACAGCGCCACCGCACGCAGTGGCCACACGCGGAACAAGAGAGATCCGGGGTCGGCGGGGGGCGTCTCCCCTCTTCAGCCCCCCACCCAGAAGCACAACCGGTCAATAAGACATTCCCAGGGTTTAGCCTGGGGCCCGGCGCAGCTCCTCTCTTTCTCTCTCATCCGCCATACGTCGACCTCTCTCTCTTTCTCTCATACACGCTCCTTCCTCCCGCTCCCACAAACACACCCAAAACCGATTCTCACTCTCTCTCTGTCTCTCCTTTCAACCATCCGGCGATGGTGGTTCGCCACCGCCGCCACCCCCCGCAAGTTCAAAGCACAGACGAGTGCGATGGCGGAGGGTAAAATTAAACTCGTAAAACAAAAACCGTTTTGCTGAATTTCAAATACAAAAGACTAGCACATATATTCCAGTATAATATATATTTTCTTAAAACATGGATTTCGACGTCCCCAACAACAAATTCCGCATCCCTCCAGAAACAAATCAACAATATCAGAATTTTAAATAGAAAACATAAAGATTAACACCCAATTATTTTTAGATCAATATTATAATTAAAGATTTAATCTTCCTACATGAAAATTTGTAATATTAAGAATAATTATATTTGTAAATCTAGAATCCTCCAAAATAATGCAAGACAAAAAACAATATATCAACCTAATATAACGAAGATCAATGCGCAAACAAATCTGGAAACTTCCAGAAAATTAAAAGGGACAAAGAACGATACTGGGCCATTAATACAAAATTAATATAAATTCATGATCAAGGGTTTAGTTATAGCAACAATTTCTGGAAGGATTTCTCTAAACGAAATGATATAAGAGAAAAAACAAAAACCTGAACTAGATCAATACCGTAGAAATGGCAGCGGCATTAATTCCTTCTACATGAGAAAACAACGAACACAACAAAAGGGATACCCAGACCCAGGTAGGCAGAAGTGGGTCTACCTTTTTTTGTGAGTGTGAGTATATTCTCTCGCATTAACCTCTCTTTCGTCGAAGAAGAAATTCCCGCTTTCACTGCTTCCAGACACGCACCGCTAGAGTTCGGCACCGATCGCGAGACCAGAAAAGAAATCTATATTCTCAATACGATATCTCTCGAAATACGCACTCTCTCTATATATCTATCGACTTCCACAACGACAGACCCAAATTTAAGTAGCATCAACCTATATATTTGAACAAGTCTATGGTAATTTTTTTGAAAGTATCATTTTACATTTAATTTTCTCAATAGCAACAATTGAACAAATTTATTGAAAACAAATACCTGATTATTTAAATTACTTTAATTATACATACAAGAGAGAATAGAGATTTAAACTATTATATATATTATAATAACTAACTGCATTAATATTAAACCAAAATATATACGCTCGAAGTTAATCAATAGCGTTGAAAGACATAGTTAATTGTAACAATTAAATACATGTAAACGGAAATAACGTTAGATATTAAATTTTCTTATATCTAATATATGAATTGTACACATTCAATTATTTGATTATGTTTATCACTCTTTATAATGCTTCCAAACAAGCCTTCTTTTTATCAAGATTACCCCATATCTTATAGATACAAAAAATAGTTATGTTTATATAGTATTGAAAAACGAAATATGAAACTATCTAAACCGTTCTTTGATTTAGTCTCTGGCATTTATAAAACTTATTTTTTTTAATTTAATCAAAGGTCACTATTTTGATAGATTGTGAAAATAAATAATACCAATTATGAAATACTGTATTCTACAGCCACATTTTACTTTAAAGGTGCTAAATTCATATGAGAGTCTAAATGGAAATTTAATGGTTAATGGTCATACTTATGCACGGATGTTTATTTTCTAATTAGTAAAGAATATTCCATGATACATATCGCCAAGAATTTAATGCTTGGCAATTGCCAAAAATAAAACTATAGTTCGAAATAGCTTTGCGAAAGCTTTCACTTGTAAGAAAATTATAGGAATGAATTTCAGCTGCAAATATCCACGAAAATATGTTTTAAATATTCTCCAGAACATTGAAATTCAAGAAACACAAATGAAGCGGATTTAATTATATAATTTGTCGACAATTAGTTTTTAAAACAGAGATTTAACGATAATTAAAATGACTATGCAAATAAACAATTAATTAACAATTCGATAATTATTTCTCACGGTAATTAATTAAATAACATCAAAATTAATAAGAACAATTAGAAATCAAACAATAAAATTACATTTGTAAACGCAATTATAATTGGTTACATATTGTAAGTCTAAGATTTCCTTCTCTAACTAAATTGAGTAACAATTATGTAACAGTCTTTAGATAATTCTATAATTGCAGTGTGATATGTTAAGGGAAGTGCTGTAATGCATTTGTTATTAAAGAGCAAATAGGATAGTTCAATTAAGGCAAGTCAACGGGTTTTCGATTAATCTGGGATACTTGTGTTGCACGCTAAATGGTTATGAATTATTGTCGAATTGGAAAATGCGGACTCATTCATACTGGACTTGTAACAATGCACATTGCTTGAATATCGTTATTATTGAAATTGAACGCTTTATAAACATTGACTAATTATATTAGTTTTCGAAATATATTATATATTAAGTGTAACAATAACTCGAGTAAACTTAATATGCTTATGGTAATCATTTTGATAGGCATTGTGTAATTGGATTTGAGACTTTAAAAGCGTTGAATAATAATTCGTAATCATTGTATATGATTATGAATGGTAATTTAATACAATACTCAAATTATTCTTATTTCATATTGATTAAAATAATATAAATACATATAGAAATTGAATTTGCATATATTTACAAATAAATTGAACATTAATTAGATAGTTAAATTAAATAATTTTAATAAATGTTATAGCATTTTGTATTAAATGGATAATTGGCATTATATTAAATATTAACAATTAAATAATTCTTCTATTTTAATAGTACTACTTGTTAGAGATTTAATAACATTGATGAACTATGACTACTGTTGTTTGTATCAGTAATAGTTGGCTTGAATATTATATGGTTACTAAATATAGTACCTAGTTTCAGAGAGGTGTATATAGTTTTAGAAATAAGTGTTAATAATCATCTATGAATAATCTAGCATTATGTATAATAAAGAGAATATTCTGGTTTCAAAATAAATTCCTGGTGTTTGATGTATTAAATAATAATTTATATTTCAGATAATTATTAGTTGAATCGAGGCAAAGTAATTAGAGGCCATTGTTTGGATAATATTAGTTTGACTCCGGACTGTAAATATTCATGAGAAATAATTGTTCGATGTCAGAAGGGTGCAAATGTTGAAAAAACAAAATCAATTTGATTGAATAATAATTATTAATAATTTTGATTGATATGTAAGTTGATACATTGTGTATATGGGGATAGTGTTGTGTATATATGTATATATATATATATATGTGAAGTAGTGTCGGTTATTATTGGCGGCAAAACGGAATGTCTGAAAATGTATTGATGTAATTTGGAACAAAGGTTCGAAAAATAGACTACGTCATCAATGAAACTGTAGATGAATTAGTTGAAAATGTTGGAATCGATAAGAATTTGTTGTTGGGCATTGATAATTCGATGGAAAAAGTGTAATTTCCAATGCAGAAATCCGTATATCAGAGCATAGGCCAAGGCACGGTATACGGCTTATATTGCCTGCACGTAGAAATACATTGGGCTAATGGAGTCCTATGCGCTATACACGGCTTGCCATATGAACAAAGCGGGCCGGCCGAGAAATCGAAAATAGAAGAGACCCGTTCGGCCTGGGAAGCTGAAATTTAGCCAGAAAATCCAGCGGAAAATTAGATCCCCGGAAAAAAATACGCGAAGCCCCTGCGGCCCCGGCAAGTCGAGATAAAAATTAAAGGAATCGCCGTTTCGGTTCTCCCAATGCATTGCTTATGGCAGCCATTTGCTCGCCTGTTATATAGTGTAGCACGTATCGGTTTATACATTTAAGTTTCAGCGGATCGCAAATGGGATGCGTTAAAACGGACGACAATTCGGAAACACAGCATCCAGTACAACGCGTAAATAAATCGTGAACAAGTGACAATTTCTACAAGCGAAAATATAAAAATTTCTTACCTGATCAAGCCTCGCACAAACTGAAGATAGAGCTTTGTATTTCGTGACCCCACGCCACTTACGCCGCGTACAAGAGTAACATAGGGTCCCATACGGCGCCGCTATTGGCCGCTTTCAAATCTGCCGCAAAAAACCGTCCAATGCGCAACGCGGCTTCCCATTTTAGTTACAATTCTTTTGACAGCCAATAATATTTTCAGTTGCGCAATAGTAGGAATGAGTTTTTTGTGTACGTAAACATAAAACCCGCGCCTTTTTATATGAAACTGGAAATTAAACTAAATCCGACGAAAGCCAACCAACGCCGCATGAATCCATACAAACGCTTTCTTTGTATTTCGAATTATCCGTGGCTTCGCGGACCCTTGGATGTTCGCCACAAAAATGTTCATATCAATCCAACTAAATAATCATATGATTTCATGGTAAAAGGAGGAAAAAGTAGTCCCGTTTCGAACGAACCAATTGGAGCGCACCTTTCCGAAAACAAATGGGCAAAGTAGGGCGTCGTTCATTGGCAGGCCCTCAGTTGGTAGCAACAAGCGTATAAACAAAAGCGATTATACGATTATTTGCGGTATTGTCAATTAAAATCGGTTCGTTTGTTCCTTCTTCAAACGTCCCGAATCTTGAATCTGTCAGATTTGATTTGGTTACTTCAAGTACAGTCGACAACGGCCGCCAGTTGTTTACGGTTCGCGTGTGAGTGAGTGTCAGATGAGGATCTTCTTGACCAAGGGCCCCCAAAACCCTAAAGGATGAACGGCTTCAGCACCGGCGAGGAAGATTCTCGCGGTCCCACAGACCAAACCTGTTGTCTCCTCGATTCCGGGGAACGCTGCCAGAAGACCGCTGGCAACGCATCCTACAGCAATCGAATCCAGAAGACCGTCACACAAAGGAGGCTACCCCTGGACAGAGATCGTTCTGTATGTAATCACGTTTCAAAGTAGCCCCAAAACCATCAACAGCCTTAGCTCTACTTAAAGCCACCACCATAATCAACTCCCAACTCAGCAACAACCACATCATATGGCATGATGCTACAATCCAATTCCTATTCACAAAATTCAATTAGAATACATTTCATATAATACTTTCATCTGAATGAAAGAAGCACATTTTATTTAAATGTAAGAAATGCTTTAACTGATTTATCTGATGTTTGTAGGTTAGGCACATTTATATCTGTGATTACCACAAAATGATGATCCAATCAGCAAGGAACAAGAGGCGCCGAAAAGATTCTGAAGATGATAGCAATGAGACAGACACAGTGGATACACAATTGCCTGAAGCTGATCTCTTTCAACTGCAAGTGAACACTCTCAGAAGATATAAGCGTTACTACAAAGTAACTTCCAGGCCAAGTCTGAATAAAACTCAATTAGCAGAAGTAAGTTTACATAAAATTACCATTTCAAGTTCATTTTAAAGAGCTATGTGCAAAAATATTCTATCTGCATTCATTAAAATAATTAAGATCCAATTTTCATCAATTGTAATTAAGGGAAAATGTGTGATACTTCATTGTATGTTAGGTTTCCCTTCCAATTGGTCACCAACCACGAGGTCTATGTGTATAGTGTCGTGTGTATAGTGTGTGGTGTGCAGACTTATTAATCGTTTCAATTCCACTAAGTAACGATCACCCATCCAAGTACAATTCGATCCAAACGTTGCTTTTCTTTCGTATGCCATCTAACATCACCCGATGGACGTCACATGGCGTTTCTGTGTTCTAATGATAGATGTTCAAATTTTGCACTTGCCTGAATAAAAGTCAATAAGCAGAAGTAAGTTAACATCCACCTTTGATTCTAAAACATAATTATTTTATACTTTAGATAATGTAATTTATGTAACACATGAATCAAACAGAGGCATGATGAGTAATGTATATTTTGTTTATGCTTGAAATCAATCAAAATTCGTTTTATCTAATATTACAGTTACATTTTTAATCAAATATTAGTCTTTTGATATCTACACTCATTGATTCAGGTCCTTTACAAATAATGCTTTGTTTGAGGAGTAAATAATATTAATTATCATATATTATTTGTACCAAGTTATTTATTATCTAAGATCAATTTTGTTATGGTTTCAGAACTTTAGAATGTAGATGAAATATGAATGAAATAATTATCAGAAGTAAACATTACTAATAATATTGTTCTTTTTTCAGACGCTGATGAAACATTTCAAATCAATACCGGTGAAGGAAAAGGAAGTACTAACATTTTTCATCTACACTGTGAAGACGAACGGTAATAAGCTCGACCAAAAAAATGGCCTGAACAGTGAGAACACTTGAAGTGCGAAATGAAGAAGACAGAGTATTGATTTTATTTATTGTATCATTTAATAGGGATTCCAAATTGGTTTGTTACAAAAAAAAAGAAGAAAAAAAAAGAAAAGATGATTTGGACTTGTATTTATTGGTTTTAAACGATGTTTTTTTTATATATATATATATAATATGTAGCAACCACATTTGACATTCCTGTTAAAAGTGCAATTATTGTTTTTGTTTACTTATTAATTTTTGTGTGTTATGAACATCCTTTTATTTTTTCTCTTTTGTTACTAAATAGATTTGTAAAAAAAGAAGCCATGAACATTTTATGTAAATATACATATGACGATTTTTTTTTTTTTCAAAAAATTTATTGTTTAGTTAAATCATTTTTTCGTTTTTGTTTTGGTCTTTTTCATCTTGTTTTTGGCGTTCAATACGATCACCTGGTCCTCCTCACTATCGGAACCAGAGGAGACTTCCATAATTTCCTGTTTGTTGTTTTGATTTGTGGTTTTGTTGGTTGTCGAGTTTTCTGTTTCTTCGGATTCGTCGCTGCTCACATTCCAAGGGCTGTTTTCTGTTTCGGGTGGAAGAAGAACCGCAGACTGATTTCCTTTTCCTATTGGTTCCACCTTTGCTTGTTCCACTATCTCCGGTTTCACTTCCGTTTTTTTCTTTTTTGTAGGCACCGTTCTCCAGGCGTTCAGAATGTCTGCTAATTTATTTCCGTTCTGTGACAAATCTTTGCTGAATGAATGACTATGTTGGAAACCAATTTCTTCATTTTGTTGCCTAAAAGCAATAACAACATTTCAATAAAAACTTCTTGAAGCTGAAAAATAAATTTTTTATCAAAAATTTACCGTTTTAAATCATCCTGCTCGACAGCTTCTTTGAGTTGATCAATCACAGTTAAAGCTCTTTTGGCAGCTCTATTGGTGACTTTCAAAATAACATCTGCACTAACGGATGCGCTACCGCCTAGATAAAAGCCGCACAATTCTTTGTAGGCATTCAAACCTAACATGAGTTGTGCTTCCGATACGTTTTCCTCTAATAAACTGGGATCCGCTAAAATGATTTCACTGAAAACCCAAATCTAATTATTGAACTAAACTTGAACATCACTCCGATCAGATTTACCCATTTGAGTAGATTGCGTAAGAAATACACACAGGATAATGATGAATCACAGTTGGGATCGTATCACGCTGGGCGTACGTGTGAATTATAATGTTTTCTCCATCGCAAGTCACATCAGGCCTCCTGAAGTGCTTGAGAGCTGCGAGTGCTGCGACCGAGGCGCAATCCAAGATGTTGCCTTCGTGATTTAGTACATTTAAATCTACTCGCAAAGCCCACACCTTCTCCTTGACTTTGATGCACAATGATTCTAAATCTACGGCTCTCGAATCTTTTATGCATTTCTCTAAAATTCTGTTCAACTGCACGGAGAGATCGGATTGTCTACCGGCCTCGAATTGTGGCGCAGCAATTGGATTCAGTTCCAAATTTATATAGAGGATTCCTTCACTTGGTCTCGTGGACTTTGGCAATTGAATTTCACAGGAAACTTGGGCCAAAACTCTGGAATTTATATGAAGAAGGATGGTTCTTAAAGATTGACAATGTAAGACTTTTCATTTCTATAAATTTGTATGATCTAAAATGAAGTCTTTCAGCAGAATTCCAAAATTGATCTGGTTGTCTGTAGGTCTTCATTTTGATAATTAATTACAATATTGTTACTAAATATAATTGCTTCTTATTGAGTTATTTTAAAAGGTAGTAAACCATTAATATGACAAATATAATCCTAAAATTATACAATAATAACAATTTCTCTACAGGTACATTACTGTCAAGAGCCAAGTAAAAGTATAAGAATGAAAAAGAAAGTTACCTAAGCTTATTTATGCAAACTACTTCATTAGATTGTAGTAAACTACAAACCTAAAATGTTCACACTTAATATGTAGAACTTGAAAATTTTTGTACTCACTGTGTTTCACCTAAAGAAACGAAACAGGAACCCCAATCCTTACCAAATTCGATTTTCAAATCGCGAAACTCATTGAAGGCTCTTCCATCCAATCTCTAAATGCAAATAAGGTTAATAATTCTAATGCACTTGAATGAAACAAAGACACTTACCTTCGATTCTTTAAGTAAATTTAAAAGAAATTTCTTTTCGCAGGTCGAAACCACGGAATCCCTTAACTTGGACATAATAATCTTATATTAAATTAAAATCTGTTGTAAGAGGTTATCGTACAAAGCATGTTTATAAAACAACTACCATGAAGTTGCAGCGACAAATTTTGAAATTTTAAAATAATTTGTTTTACTTAAAAAGTCTTTAACAACAAGCAAATAAGAATTTCAGATACTCTAATTGCAATTAATTGCATTCTGATGTACACTTAGTGTTTATTTATTGAATGTAGTTGTTGGAATTTGAGAGAAAGTGATTTGTTTTTGTCTAACTTCAAGTAAATGGGCTCGAGATTGAAAAGCTGTGGTTGTTTTGTATTAAAAGCAAATTGTAATAGTATTTTGTTAGAAAGTAAACAAAATTAACGTACAGATGAAAGTGGAAATGATGGATGACTTGGACGACACGACAATTTGTGATTCTGTGGTCAGTAAAACAGTTTAATTGGGGTGTATGTAAATATAACCTAAAAGTCCGCTTTGTTTCCACAGAATTCACTGGTAGAAGGATGCAGACTACCTGTGCGTATGAAAGGCACTGATGATTGGCGTAGGTTTATTACTTACATACATGAAATGCATGCTATTATAATTCTCATATCTTTGTAGCTTTGGCGGAACTGATCAGTATTAAGGAATCACCAGGATTTAGGCTATATTATGTACATTATGTTGATTGTAAGTTGATTAATTTATTAACTAAACTAATATATTGTTGATACATTAACTTTGATGTACAGTTAATAAGAGGTTAGATGAATGGGTCACAGAAGACTTATTGGACACAAGGAAGGTGCACTTTCCCAGAAGAGACTGCGTTATAAACACAGGTGTATCTACTCCAAAGAGGGCTCCAGTAGGAACTGGTGGCCAATCTGTCTCAAGGTGACCTATACTTATTTTTAGTATTTTTTTTTAAATGAACATTTACTTAATGTTTTTGTTATGATTTTAGGCCATCAAGTCCTGTTACTGGAGAACTTGTAAATGGTAGTGCTGTATTAGCAGCTGCACTACAAAAGAGGATAAACAATAATAAAAAACGGAAGGGTTTATCATTAGAAAATGAAGACTCTCAGGATGCGCCGCCACCTGCTCAACAGCCTGCGCTACCTGGCCCTAGGCAGTCTGGGAGCATGGTTGCACATCACGACGATGTCATCACCCGGATGAAGAACGTTGATATGATAGAATTAGGCAAACACAGAATTAAACCTTGGTATTTTGCCCCGTATCCACAGGTTATTATTACCCCAATATTGTCGTGGTGCTAGTAAATCAGTTACAATTTTTAGGAGATGGTTGGAATACCTTGCATCTATATATGCGAATATTGTTTAAAGTACAGGAAGAGCAGAAAATGTCTGGAGAGGCACATGGTTAAATGCAATTTGAAACATCCTCCAGGCAACGAAATCTACAGGAAAGAGCACATCTCGTTCTTCGAGATAGACGGCAGAAAGAACAAAAATTACGCGCAAAATCTCTGCCTGCTGGCCAAGTTATTCCTCGACCATAAAACTTTGTACTATGATACAGATCCTTTCCTTTTTTACGTCATGACAGTGTTCGATAACCGCGGTTTTCACATAGTCGGGTACTTTTCTAAAGAAAAGGAATCTACGGAGGATTACAATGTCGCTTGCATTTTGACGATGCCTCCGTATCAACGAAAAGGATATGGAAAACTTCTCATAGAATTCAGTTAATATAGCAGCTTCCCTTCAGCTTTGTTTCTTACTAATCTTTCATGATTTAGGTTACGAATTGTCCAAGTTTGAAGGTAAAACTGGTTCTCCCGAGAAACCGTTATCTGATTTAGGTCTGCTATCTTATAGGAGTTACTGGGCGCAAACAATTATGGAAATTTTGCTTTCTATGAAGCCGGTCGGTGATAACGAAAAGCCGCAAATCACAATCAAGTGAGTTCTTTTTACGTTTATAACCATGCAATTGGCTTATGTTTGAATTTGCAGCGAAATTTGCGAATCCACGAGTATAAAAAAAGAAGATGTGATATCGACGTTACAAAATTTAAATTTAATTAACTACTATAAAGGTCAATATATTATTACACTAAACAAAGAGATTCTCGAGAGCCATAGGAAAGCCATGGAAGTGCGATTGATTAGGATAGATCCTAAGTATTTGCATTGGACACCCAAGGATTGGGGTAAACGAGCAAAATGGTAAAAAATACTTTTTATTATTTTAATGACTGAAAAAAATAAAAAGATACATGTTATTTATTTCCAACATTCTTATTTATTGCCCGTAGTTTAGTAACTATATGATTTATTGGAAATCACAAACAGCAGTCATCCTAAAATATCATCTAGCCAATCTTCTAACTCTTCCACGTCCTTGTTCTTGGTAAAGATATTATTGTCAGCAGGTTTGTTTTCCGACTGATCATTAATCTCATTATCACATATATCCACATTTTCGATCATATCCACAAGATTCGACGTGAATGATTTGTTTTCAACGATTGTTTCTTTATTGATCGAGTGACCCTCCAAAAACGTATCGAAAATTGCTTTATTCTTGGTAGCTGTTGAATGCATCTCTTCCAAATGTTGAGGCTATAAATAAAAAATAAGTAAAAAAAGAACTATATATTAAAATTATGTACTAGAAAAATCTTTGGATCGATGTTCATCCTCTCGTAGAACGGAATACTGGAGATTCCTAGATTGAGAACATTTAAATCCAATTGGAAAATATCGCTGTCGATTTGCAGTTGGGTATCATCATCAGGTAAAAATTGTTTATCAGTTTTGAACTGGAAATACGCGCCCTGCGACACTTGCCCTTGACTCAAAACACCAAAGTCTTTAGAGGAAACAATTTCGTCATCTTCCAAAATTTCATCGTCGGATTCATCGTATCTGGACCAATTCTTTGGAAGCACATTCACGGGCAAATCTTTTTTCTGTTGACCGTTTGCCTTAGGAGCGAACTTCGCATGATCCTTGAAACGAGTTTTATTTCGGTGATGCAATTGACTGAAATGGGTACAAAATAAATTATTTAAAAAGATGCACATTGTGCGTAAATTATCAAATACCGAGGGCAGAAAGAAAATTATTATTGTATTAAGGTTTTATTTTGAATTTATATGGTTGCAATAAATATTATTATTCAGAATACTGCTCTTTATATTGACAGTTTATGAAAGTTAAGCAGTGTATTGTTTCGCGGCACTTGGATGGGTGATTAAATAATTATCAACATATAACAACAATTTAGCTACACAACTATTTCAAATAACTTACCCTTGTTTCTTGAATTCATTCATTCTTTATAAACAATATGTAACTAAATGTAGAAATATATGGCATATGTTTGATATTATTAACCTGCATAAGCCGTAAAAAACATAAACACAAAATATAACCTAAGAAACTGTATGAATGTGAAGTCTAATTTGCAGATATTTAAACTTTATAGGTAACAAATGAATATCGTATTTAATATTATTAATATATGTTCATATAGATTAATAATAACAGTGAATATATTTTTATTAAATTAGCAAATTAATAATAAAGCAAGAATGATTTTCCAATGTTGGCTACATGACCAAATTGTTAAATGTCAAACTTCCTAATCAGCAATTTTATTTTCGTATTCCGATCATCATACAGGTGCATTTTTTGTTTAATTTAAATATAACAATTGGGTGAGTTCAATGTATCTATTATACAACTAAACTCAACCCTTTGTCTTAAAAAGCTTATTTATAGATGAACCCCAATGACATTCATATCAGCAAAACATTATCTTGGCTTCTGAGACATGCTGCTGTTAAAGAGGGATTTCCTCTTCAGAGTGATGGATTTATCAAGGTAGACGATCTTCTGAAGCACAGGCAATTGAAGAAAGCAACAATTGATGATATCAAGAGGGTGGTTGAATGCAATGATAAGAAAAGATTCAAATTGGTTCTCAGTGCAGATGACGTTTATTTGATAAGAGCTAATCAAGGACATTCAATTCAGGTTAGTTTTTGTTTAAAATCTGTATCCATATAAAATGTCAAACACAATATTCAAAAAGTATATATTTATATAAAAAAAAATATTGAAACTATTTATTATTTGTAGGCTGTTAATAATCTGGAGCTGACACCAATATTGACTGCAGCTGATGCACCTGTTGTTGTACATGGCACGTATTACAAATTTTGGAATAGCATCAGGAAAACAGGATTAAATCGCATGAATAGGCTTCATATACATTTTGCCACTGGTATTCATGAAAGTGTAGTCAGTGGAATCAGGAAGGATTGTGAATTATACATTTACATAGATCTTGACAAGTCTTTGTTGGATAACTTGACCTTCTATTTGTCTTCCAATGGGGTTGTGCTTAGCCCTGGTGATGCGGATGGTTTAATTCTACCTAGGTATTTCCTAAGAGTTGTAGATAAAGAGACTGGGAACATATTGAAATTTTGAAAAGATGGCTGATTCAACCAGTAATTCAACCACTGAGAACACTTGCATAATATGCAAATTGGCATTTCAGAACATCAACCTATATCAGAATCACCTGAAGAGTAATAAACATCAGATGATAGTACATCGTGCTTATATCAACAATGTGAAAGAAACACATAGCATTTATGTTTCAGGTGAGTTGTAATTATTAAATATATTATAATAGGAATATTCTCTTAAAGATCTATTTATGTACTATAATTATAATAAATAAGATTATTTCTTGTATATAATTAAACTTTTAAATATTGTGCTAGTACATATAATTAAATATTTTATGTTTATATTTTATTTCCTAAAATACACAGTAATAATTAGATTTCATTCTTTTTTTTGATTTAAAAAAAAATCTGATTCTCAAGTTACAAACTCATGATCTTGGTGTCGGATTGTTGACCACTTAAAGTAACAAGCTATGAGCATAGAATTACATTTATTTTGAGAAATGGAATGCCAGAAATATTTGAATCTTTTAACAATCATTGCATGTTTCAACTGTGTTTGTTGTTGTACGAAATCTAGTATGAATTGGTATATTTCCTTTGATTGATTGATAATAAAAATCATAATTTTTCAGATTTACCAAACATAGAAAAGAAGGAAGTGATCATGGAGTATTTCTCCGAATTTGGCGAGATCGCAGATTGTTATTTAGGACACAACAACACATTCGCTTTTGTGCAGTTTAGAGATATTTCAGTCGTAGAAGAGATGTTGAAGAAGAAACTGACAATAAACGGGAAGGAAATAAAAGTGCAGAAACGAAAAATTCGCGAGAGGCATGGTATTATTGATATCATATCTGTTTATTTTTTTCTTTACAATACGTTTTATTGATTGCTTTAGATATCGATTACCAAACTACGTCGGATGACGCTCTAAAAGCCATCGTTCTGAAATTGAAACATGTCGATGGTGTTGACAAGCAGTTGGAAGAACTGCTGAAATGGTTGCAACCTAGTCAGTTTGAGAATATTTCGAAATATGACTGCCTGTGTAGAGACCTGCAGGAGGTTTTGAAGAAACTGTTCCACGTGTGCGTTGTTTATCCGTTTGGATCGACGGTGACGGGTCTCGATTTCGCTGGTAGCGATGTCGATGCATATGTGCATGTACCCCAAAACAACGTAAAAAATAACGTTAATATGGCGTCAATTCATGTTGACAAATCCAAGAGGCATCTAGAGAAGCATAACAGATTTGCACATGTAGTTTCAATACCTAGAGCGAAAACCCCTATCGTTAAATGCCTACACGTGCCTACGCAAATAAATTGCGATTTTAACTTCAAGAATATGCTTGGCGTCTGCAATTCTTATCTAATACGTTATTATATAAATCTTGACCCAAAGATTAAGCCAATGATGGTTATATTGAAATTCTGGGGAAAGGTTCATGACCTAGTGGGCCCAACAAAGTTCTCCTCATACTCTTTGATGATAATGTTTATCCATTTTCTTCAGAAATTCTACCAATTACCCACAGTTGAAGTACTTCAACATCCAAATGCGCCTGTTAATATACAGGATCGATGGAATGGTGGTATCGATGGTAATTTTAGACCTTTACTGTCAAAGCTAAACTCCACGAGAATGATTGATATCATTGTGCAGTTTTTCGATTTTTACGCTAAATTTGACTATGCGTTATATGTGATTGCGCCATACTTGGGCTGCTCGATACCAAGAACACATTTTATGCAACCCGAACTTTTACCGCCGCAAAAATATTACTTATACTGCCGTAACATCGAGTACATAGGACCGATCTGCACGAATACTGCGATATGTGTGCAGGATCCATTTGAGCATTCGTATAATATCACCAGAGCAGTGACTTCGAGGATTTTAGAGGAGTTCGTGCAGCTCTGCAAGCACGGCCACGAAATTTTGACAAATTCGCCTTGTCTTTATAGACTGTTCATTGAGGAAACCGGCGACGACAAGTTTCAACTCAAAGATGGAGAGTGTATTTTTAAACTTAATATGCCATGCAATCTGGATTATATGTTTGCTGAAAAAAAGACCATTACAAATGACGAAATCCGTGAAATTTGGTATGAATCCATCAATACCTTTATAACAATGGTGCTGCAGAAAGTGTTCATGTCGGAAGTAAATATAAGCAAGAAGGAAATTAAAGGGAAAGCAATAAAATTAGATGGACAAGCCGATGTGTATGATAAGAAGAGCGTCGACTGTGTGAAATTCAATTGCGTGCAACGGAAGAATACCTGGCTACGTCGGAAACTTATCGCGAAGGACTTGAATATAGATATTAATTTAAACGTCTTGGAAAAGCAAATGCAAGTTTCCAATTACATTTCCGAAGTCATCTACAAAGATATTACATTTGAAACATCTATATTTGAGTTTTCCTTGCTAATGAAGTATATGGTAAATCCGACCTGTATGGAATTTGAGTTAGGACTCACAACGGGGGAAACCAAGAACAACGACTTTTTTACATTCGCGCGGTGTTTCGTCATGTGGATACCTCAGTGGTACAATCAATACCACGAGAACCAATTGAACCAGTGGAAGAAGACTACCAAGGCCGAGGCAAAAGGCAAGAACAAAGACGAAACTGACAAGGAAATCAAAACAGATGCTTTAACCAAAATATAGCGATATATATTAAAAAAAATACTTAACTAACCTTTTAGTAGAAAGAGCCATAGATCCTTTATTTTCATATGCATAAGTGTGTAGATTATATCATTCGTTATTTTGTCGATTTCATTTTAAATTTGTATACATAATTCAATGAGTATTCCGTTATTATATTATGATGTTGTAAAATTGTATTTTTGTTAGTTTGCTAATATTTTAAGGAACAGTACTGGTTAGCTTTTACCTTTCTAAGATTATATTAGTTATTTCATTGTAAAGTACAGATTCTATTTTTTGTATAATTATCATACTTGGAAAATAAGTATATAAGATTTTAAGATTAACAAATAAATTGACTTTGATTTTTTATAAAAAGAAATTTGTGAGTTATAATTATTTCACATTCAAACTGATATAGATATAATATTTATTCGCTTTATAATAATTGTCAACCGGTGACAATCGCAAGCCCGACAACCGAAATCCCGGCTGGCACAAAATCCCGACTATATTGAAATCTCGACTATGTCAAAATCCCGATTATATCGAAATCCCGACTACCATAAAAATGTTATTGTAGAAATTTATAATAATAAAAGGCACTGTCTGGATTTCGATATAGTCGGGATTATGGTAGTCGGTCTTTCGGTTGTCGGGCTTGCGATATAGACCCTTGTCAACATATTTTCATCTTAACTACAAAAAACGCGCCAAATGAAAGGACATTCGTCGCCGCTAGGTGGCTTCTTTTGGAAGATTGGTGATTGTATTTGCTTTCAGTTGTATTTTGACAAAGAGAATTATTGTCAATAAGGAAAATTAACAAACACATTGCTTTCCTAAATGAGTTTGTTTTTTTTATTTATTAAAGTCTTAATTTTGCTGCTTAAAAAACAAAATGGCTAATTAGTGTTGTCAAAAAGGAATTGTACGGAATGAACGATATTTGATGGAGTTGATTCATGTATCTCTTCTATCATATTAAAGTATTGACGTAAATTGCACAGGTAAACTTTTTTTTATTGGAGAGACGCCATCGAGGTTACTCTTAAAGAATTATATAATGTATAATTTTTGTGATACATTTCTGGAAAGCGAATAATATTTTAAGGTTATACTGCATGAACTGATTGCAATGGATGTAAAGGACGCAACTTGCCAATTAAAAGTGGAGCGTAAGTAGTTTTTTTTTTAATATTATATTATAAACAAGACAGCTCATATGTGTTTAGTTGATGTTCATCAACAATTAAAATTAATGTTTATTTGTAATCAATGCAGTTGCTTCATGTAGTAAGTGATTGACTCATTGTTTATTGACTAATTTGAACTTCAGTTTACCCATTAGTATGATATTATTAAGTTGTGAATTTCTAATGGTAAAATGATGAATGTCAACAAATTAAAGTTAATAATAAATAATTCAATTAAACAATATTGTTACGTGATAAAATATATATAATTTATTTTAGATGTCTCTGATGAAGAAGATGATGCAGGATTGGAGGAAGTTCCTGATGATTTCTTTGATGACTTTTCGAATAAAGAGTTTCTTGCTGGATTGGATGTCGTTGATGCATGGGATGGGGCGTCTGATGCTAAAGAGGATGTCTGTGATGAGAATGTTGAAGAGGAATGTGTATCAACAAATAAAATAGATGGTAATGTATCTAATATAATTAAACAGGAGATTGAGGAAACTAGTGCAACTCAGGTCATTGAACCAAAGAAAGTTGATAAAACTAAAAAATCTCCAGAGAAAAGTGATATGGAAAGATTTGAAGCGAAACAAAATGAAGATATAAAGGATATCCAAACATTGGTTAAACAAGAATTGGAAGTGCCACAGAAAACAGAAAACAACTTGAAACAGGAACAGTTAACTTCTGCAGTTAATGCTGAAGAAGAACCAAGTGATAGTGGAAGTTCCAAGAAGCTAGAAACATCCACGGATAGTCAAGTGAATGATACTAAAATAAAAAAAGGAAATGAAGAAAAGAAACTAAATGTCTCATTAAAACCAATTGATAGTCTCATTAATAAAACATGCACTAATAAAAAGGAAAGTGTAAATTCAAAATCTAGTACTAAAACAAAGCCATCTGGGAATGGAAGTAAGGAAAACTCAAATCGCTCTGTGAATAGTTCTAAAACTGCCTCTCCTGAAGATAGTGCTCCGAAGAAAGTTGTAGATAATAAGAGCAAATGTGCAAATACTAAAGAAACTTCAACTGTGAAAAGGGATAGTAAAGTGAAGCAAAATGTGGAAGAGAAACACGGAACTAAAAGACAAAGAAGTGAGTCTAAAGATTCTTTGAAGTCCGATGATAGAAAAAAGCAGCATATTCGTCGAGATGTTAAGCAAAAAGAGAAAGAAAAAGAAACTGCTAAGCAATTGGAAACTCGTAGGGATCCGAAAAAAAGAGATAGAGATATCGAGCGTGATAAACTTAAATGTGCTAAAGACAAAGAAGCCAAGTTGATCTCTGAAAAGTTGCGTGTAGTAGAGACGGGATTGGTCCCACCAGGTACAGAAATGGATTGTGATATGTTCACTACTAAAAAAAATGACAAACGCACTAGGAGTCCATCCGGTTACAAGCCATTATTGTCACTTAGTCCGTCACCAAAACGTTCTTGCGATAGACGTTACGATCGGCGGTATTCTCCTGACAGAAAGTTGGATAATTTGCGTAAGACATCCCCGTTAAAACGCGTTCGGCCATTCAGGCAATCGCGCAGCATATCGCCGATTCGCAAATATTCCCCACGAAGATCTCCTTTCAGGTCAAGGTATATCCGACCTTCTCCACAAAGGAGACGAAGCTGGAGCCGGGATTCTCCGAACAGAGACAGGATACGAGATTCACCGCCCCGCAAGAGAACATTTCTCGAGGAATTGGACGAGAAACTGGCGCAGAAGCGTTTGCAGGAAATACAACAAAAAATCAACGGCAGAAGAGCTGCTGCTGCTGCTGCAGCTGCAGCCGCTGTTTCAGCTCCTCTTCCAGTACCAGCTCCCGTTCCCGCTCCAATGCCTGTCACAGCACCCATCCCGATGCCAGTTGCTCCGCCCATAGTTCCACTCATGCAGCAAATGGTACAACCTCAAATAATGCCATACAATATGCAAATGTACAACCATCCCGCATCCGTACTTTACGACCAACAATATTTTATTGGTCATCCAACGTACGCCCAACCTACACCAGAGCCAAATTTATACAACCAGTATAATGCTCAGCCTAATTCTTCATTTCAACAAAATCATAATGACGAAGTTGAAAAAGTAAATTGAAAAACTAATATACTTAATTACACATTAACCTGACTATTTTTTTTTCTAGCTTTTCAATGATGATAAAATTAAGCTGACCGACTTTTTGTGCATCACTAGTCGAGCGAATGGTAAGAATCTAATTAATAGATATGTTACATACCTGTGTTAATCTACTATCAGCAATATTTACGAAGTACATTTTTTGAAATTTATTTACAAATACTTCAGGAAATTTATATATCAGATAGTATTTATATATCAGATAGTTTCAAGTATATTTTTTTTGCTACTCTATTATACTTGTATTTAAGTATAGCGTAGGTACACAATTAGGTCGTTATATATAAAAAAAAATACTAAAAATACAATAATATCTACTTTACATCTATTTACAGCATAAATATATGTGCTTTTAATGGAGATATTTGAAACCTTATTAGGAGTATCTTATTCGAATAGTTATTGTTCCACCTAAATGTTTTATGTTCACACGTAACGATTCCTGAGGTGAGCACACTATTTGAGTGTCCATTAATGTATTTTTTTTTTCGGGTTTTTCATTATGTAGATTAATGATTATATTTTCTTTATCTTTTTCAATAGATGAAATACCTGCAAATATAGGCAATAAGATCAAAGGTGAGTATCGTCTTTTAGTTGAATTAATATTTGTTTATTTCTGTTTTTTATAATTTGAAACAAAAAAATAATATGTTGAGCAAATTCTATTTGGTGTTTATATATCCGCTCCGATTCCAGTGATAGCCCAAAGTCAGGATGCTATAAAAATAGCAACCGAGTACTCCACACCGTCTGGACGTTTTATTTTTAAGAATACTGTAAACAAATTGGCGGACAAACAGGAAGTTTTGAGCAACTGGTCACCATTGCGCAAAACTCCGGTCACTCGTCTCAGTTTCATCACTAAAAAGAACGAGAGGCCTCTGAGGACACCGATGTCGGTGCTGCTCGCCAAGCTAGGACTTACGAGCAATCAACCAATAATAGAGGACGTAGATGTTGATGTGGTAGAACCACCTCCGAAGGAAAGCATGTGCGCGAGGATGACTCAAACGGAACCAGAAACTTGTGAGAAGTGTGAGCAACGAAATCAGATAAAGTACGTCGATGTCGGCATTCAATGTGAAAGTTCTGGCAGTGTAGACTTTGGATGTCAGGTGCGCGAAGATGACTTCCTGACTACTGCCCGATCGGCTTTGCAGAATCTCATCAAGACTCAGTCCTTGGCTTCTTTGACCCCCGCTCAAATACTGGCATCGCTTTCTGAAAAAGCTGAATCCCTGAAGGAAACCGTGTCTGTTTCAAGGAAGTCAGACGAGGTTATTACAGAGAAGCCATCAACTGAAACTGATGCAACTCGCCGAGATTACGATCGGAGGAGGCCCAGAGATCATTCGACGGACAGGATGGAAGGTAGAAGATCTATACCGGATGAGGACAGCAGAATGGAGGAAAGATGGTCCAGGGACAACTACGATACCAGCAGGAATGACAGGAGGTCCAATTCACTGGATTGGAGAGTGGAAGAAAGTTGGTACGCGGATGATCCTCAACCATTGATGGAAGACACCAGGTGGTCCAGGGAAGACTGTTATGAGAGGAGGTACGGCGGCGATTATAATAGACCATACAGGAGGGAATCTGAGATCTGGGATGATATGAGCAGAGGAAGTGGAAGTGTAACCAACCGCTATCCACCGCCGCTGATGCAGAGAGGTTCACGATTTAATAACGCCCACTTCAACGGACCATCCCACGATAGCTTCACCGAAGATGTGACTCCAGGACATTTCTTCAATGCAAGAAGATACTAGACATACATTTGTATATATATATACTTATTTGTATATATATACACACTTGTCTACCAAATATAAATTTACAAATTTATTTTGTTTCTTTTTTTTTAATTTTATATTTGATATATTTAAGTTGAACTTAGGCCATCGTTTATATTACAAAATTCCAATTTTGTATATATCATGTATATATAAATGTGGCAAAAGTCAAGAACTACAATTATAAAAACAATGTTATTTGAACCTGTTAGTCGATTAAATGTTTACCTATGTTTTCCGTCATGAAAAAAAGTTTAAAAATTACAATAAATATATTTAAAATTATTATTTTCCCTTTCTGATAAGGAAAACACATTATATTTCTTGAAACTCGGTTGTTGATTGGCTGAAAAAGTGAATAGTATTAACTTTTTATTTATATGTTCAAAAGTTTTTATTACTCATTATACAGATACATGTATTTTCACTTCATAACTCGAAATAAAATGTTTTAAAAGAATGTTGTTCAACTACGACCTATTGTCGAGATTTGACTGTTCAGTTTACCTTTTGAACTATTAACCAACGTTATGTGGTTTTCGGTCTTATTAAGATTACATTGTTTTACACTAAATTACAATTTCTTATTACTCGTCTTTGGAAATCAATTTATTTTCATTGATAAATGATGATAAATACTTGGAACTTAATTGTGGATATTTTATAATATTCGTCTACGTAATCTATATTTTAATAATCATTCGCAATAATCTCACTTTTCTTTATGTTCTTCATACCATCCATTCGCATCACAAAATATATCATAATACTTTGGCCCTTGTTTGCAATGGCCCTGATAATGTTTTACGCTAATTAGAAAAAACTAATTTCGATTTCAAGTATTTTTTCAAAAGTATTAAACTTTATGTATTTTTTTATATTACTCTTATATAAATTTAATAATTATAATTTTATTGTTTCTATTTCGACCAATAAAGATAATTATATTTATTTATTGCTACAATATAATTTAGATGGTTGTCTGCATAGTGAAAGTGTTTCCCTGTGCAAAGTGAGCAGTGCATAGTTAAATTTGTTGAAGATTTTATCAGGTAAAATTATGTTCAGTGAATATGAATAATATTACAGTTTATCTTATGAATAAGTTGGAAATCATCTCAATTTCAGTGCAGTTTAGTTAATAAAAATAAATGTTTATTGAAATGAACTGTAATTAATCAAGTATATATGTAAAATAGTAAGATTTTGTTTATATGAGAAACTCTAATAATAAAAAAAACTTTTTTCAGATTTAAAAAAAGTGAAATCATATTTTAATTAGGTCTACAGTCTAATAACTAAAATTCATTAACAAAAATATGTGTATTGTATTTCAGATTTATAAAAATAAATTGCAACCTGAAATTGTTATCTTTGTAACCGATTTTTTTTTAACTCCTTTTAAATTGACGATTGTGTAACAGATATGGCAGATATAATTGCTGGATTTTTGTCTACAATTTTCAAGTAAGTTACTTAACTTTAGCTAACGTGTCTTAGATTACAGATGGAGCCACATGTTCTACTTGGCTGAAATTTTATTTTAAATATTATAGAAATCTACTTTGTAATTTAAATAATGGACTTAACTATTATAGCAAAATATTAAAGTTATCCTGAAAAATAGCTGTCATAGTATTTAGTAAAGTTACATTACAAAATAAATTAATTTATAATTGATTGATATTTCTAAAAAATAGCAAGCGAAAATATATACCGATTTTCGTTCTTAGAAGAAATCATGACTTTTCTGGAAATGCATAATAATATGCATAATATTTGTATATTTTGATGCACGTATTTAAGATAGGTTCGGGGAAAGTACTAAGCCGCAGGAAAATACCCAATGCTTTTCCAAGATCTCTAGACATATCTTGTTGCTTTTTTACTTGCATATTTTGAGTCGATTAACAACATATATGAGAAGCAAAGATATGCAATACAAATTATTGTACATTTTCTGTATGGGAAAATTCCGCTCTTAATAAGAACGTTAAGCTAACTATACTAGAGTTAAAGCTAAAAAAAGCGCCAGGATATGACCTGATTGCAGCAGAGGTCTTGAGGCAGTAACCCCAGTATAGGCATTAGGGTTATAACGCTTATCTTCAACGCAATCCTGAGACTCTGTATATTTTCATCACAGTGGAAGGTAACCCAAATCATACTCATCGCCAAACCTGGGAAACCAACGGACGCGGCGTCTTCATATAGACCCATCAGCATCCTGCCGGTACTGTCTAAACTGTTCGAGAAGCTGTTGCTGCGAGGACTGAAGCCCTGGCTGTTGGATAGTCATCTCATTCCGGAACACCAGTTCGGATTTCGTGAGCAACATGGCACTGTGGAACAGGTGCATCGTGTGGTGGATGTGATTGGCAAAAGTCTTGAGGAGAGAGGTACTGCTCTGCAGCTTTCCTCACAGGCGTTTGCCGGAGTATGGCATGGAGGATTACTATATAAAATTAAAAAGTGTCTCCCATATGAATATTACGTCATATTCAAATCGTACTTGAATGGGAGGCACTTCCAGGTCAAGCACAAGAACGAAGATACCTCGCTACGCCCAATCATCTCTGGTGTCCCGCAGGGAAGTGTTTCTGGACCCTTACTCTATTTGATCTTCACAGTTGATCTACCAACCCCTCAGCACGCCACAATAGCCACATTTGCTGATGACACCGTTGTTTTAGCATCTCACCAAAACCGAACTACGGCCTCACAGATACTTCAAAAAAGTCTGAATAGCATAGAACATTGATTCAGAAAGTGGAGAATTAAGACTAATAAAACTAAGTCTGTGCATGTAACGTACACAATGAGTCGACAAACTTGTCCACCTGTTACACTGACTGGCAGTGCTCTACCACAGGCTGATGATGCTAAGTATCCTGGCATGCATTTGGATCGTCGACTCACCTGGAAAAAGCATATTATGACAAAAAGAAAACAGTTGGGACTGACAGTAAAGAGATTACATTGGCTGATGGCTAAATTTTAATATATAAAAAAGTTTTAATATATAAAACGATAATAAAACCGATATAGACTTATGGATTACAACTATGGGGATCTGCTTGTAATACAAGTATTGACATCATACAGCGGTTTCAGTCAAAAACGCTCAAAGCAATTGCCAATGCTCCCTGGTTTTCGACTAACGAGTACATACATCAATACACTGGAGTCCGATTTGTGAAGGATGAGATAACGGAACTCAGCAGCAAATACCAACATCGGCTGGAGGACCATCCAAACCAACTTGCCCCTGAACTTTCACACACTGAATCTCATCGACGAAGATTGAAACCACAGGACCTCCCTAATCTCTTTTAAAGTTATTGATAGTGCCTAAATTGACAATAAGACTTGCTTGCGTGTATGTGTTCGTGAATTTTTCTTTTATAAGCATTCTGTGGAGTTTGGCTGGATCAATTTCCAATATATATTTTTAAATTTTCTCACTATTAAGCACAGAACTAGAGCATGTTATCTGTTTTTCTTTTTATTGTAGATAGATTGTTTTGTAAATAATAATAAAAAAAATGTAAAGAGTATTGAACAAAAAAATCTTCTACTTCACTCATTTACGTTCCATAGCTTGTTAATAAATATAATTGTGAATCTATTAGGATTGAACCATATACTATAAAGAACTTAAGATTAAAATAAATATGGTATAACATAAACATAAAATAGACTAATAGAAATTGTAAACAAACCAAATATAAATAATTACAATTGATGGAATATACCCGTTAATTAGTAAATAAATAGCATTTGAGTCTAACCATTTGTGGTATTGAGAGTTTAAATATAAGATCGAACTTTATAAATCAATTAGAAATTTACAGGTAAAATGTCCAAAAGACTTCAAAGGTAATAGAAGTATAAAATGGCAAATAATATTTGTGTATATTTTTTTTCTATATAAATATCATAAATTTAAGATTTGTCTATTTGATAAATAGGGAAAATATTGGGTTTTTAATATATTAATTTTCTTATAATTGAAGTCTTAATCAAAGTTGTAAGAGATTATCTAATATTTATGAGTACACCTATTTCTCGTTTTACACTGTACTTTCTTTAATTTTTTCTACTTTTACACGGTTTAAAAAAAAATAAAAATAATTTTTGAAAATAACATTACAATTTTTATTTACATGTTTTTCTCAGCGCTTTGGTCATAATTGTGGTCAATGAATATGTTAAATAAATAATAACTAATGTAATTTAAAGATAATAATAAATCAGATTTGTTGCTTAGAAAATTAAAATAATAAATTAATTAAGAGTCAAAAGTAATGATTATTTAATTATTTTAATTTAAAGACAATGAAGAAAAAATCTAAAAGTATATTGATCTTAGGATAAATATTAATGATGTATAGTAAAATAAAAAGAAATGAGTGTCGTATTTGATTTAGGTAGTTTTAATTTTCATCTGGTTGGCAGCGTGCGGTAGTTTGTGTTTACGTTTCTTGGAAAGCAACGCCATCGTGTCGCTCACGCCGGCACCGGCGGCTCTTCGGCCTAGGTTCGGTCGAATTCGACGCCCCGCCGAGCAGCACCGACGCGATACGCCTTGACAAATATTCGCCTGCGCCCAGTAACAGTTGCCATGTTGCGATACAGTCAGGGCGTGCGATAAGACCAGTAGTGCAAGTTGTGAAAAAAAAAGCGATCAGGGAAGATCCGGAGGCCCGTCGTGTGTTCGTTTTCATTGGATCCGTCGTGAATTACGATCGTGTGCGTTGCTATCGTCGCATCGCATCGGAGTGTGTTGTTGTTGGCTACGAACAAACAAACAAACGAACGTGGTGACCGCCGTCGCGGATCCGAGTGTTGGTTGGGTGCAGAGTCAGGCAGTGGATCGCTGGATGCACGTGGGTTACATCGAGAAGGACTGGACAACTCCACCGCTTGTTACAGGCGTCGTGGATGCGGTTATAGCGCATAGGTGGTGGTTCGTAGACGACAGGACCGAGGGATCCGCGCTACACAGCGGCCCAGAGGGAGTGAGCGAGCCCTGCTTGCATGTGGGTGCGAGAGAGAGAGAGCGTGTTGCTGCGGCCAGTCGTTTCAGCGAGAAGAGTGCAGCGGCGAAGGAAGAAAGAAGGCGCGCAGACAGGTGATCCCGAATTCGCGTCCTTCAACACATTCTCCTAGTATCCTGGTCCTCCAGGAAGTGGTGACCAAAGCTGCAATATTCAGCGTTTGTTGTTGTTGATTTGGGTGCGCGCGAGGGAGGGAAGAACGGACCTTGCAGTCCTACAGAGTGGTGGTGTTGTCGTCATCCTCATCGCTGTCGACGGGGTGCGAAGTGCGCGGACATCGAGTCGGTCGGGCTTGGCAACGTGAATCCCATGCACATTTGTTATTATTTTGCTTGTGTGCTTTTGACCCGAGAGAGCGCTAAGGCAATGACGAGCCGAGTGGTGGCCCAGTAGAGTCCATTCTTCTCGCAGACGGGGGGCGCACGCATATATATATATATACATACACAATCCATGCACACTCGCACACCGTGCTGGTCGTGGATGTGTGCGTATGATCGTCGCCGTTTCGACTCCCCTAGAAACACGCAGAATAAAGCGAAGAGGAGGAATGTCGAGTGCTAGAAGAGAAAGGAGAGCCCGGTGTCTGGAATAAGGAAAGCGTCACCAGAATATGACGGTTGTCGATTGTTTTCATTCGCTGCCTCCCATGCAACCGGAAGTCGGTAGCTCTAATTGACCAAACACGAGCGGCGAGTGAGTTAGAGCGACAGAACGAGTGTGCGAGAGATAGAGAGGACATAGTTTGTTGTCTCTCTGTCTCGCTCTTGCAAGTGCGGGGCGGAAGTTGCTCTGTCTGTCGGGAGGCTTCAGCATCCATACTCAGTTGGCCTTGAGCGTCAGAGGTTACTGCCCCCCTTAGTACACCGAACACGCCGGATTGTTTACCCGCTGAACCCCCCACAAACAAATTTTATTGAACCGATTGCTCTCTCTCTGTCCGACACACGGCGGACGCGCGCCCTTTTACCAACCCCCTCGCAACAAACATCCTTGTATACACTCATACTAAACACCAAACACAAGAGTTCTAATTTTTTCCTTCTCTTGCAACAAAATAACACCCTTGGAATTTTTAGTATACTTTGTTGACGAAAGATATGCTGCTTGCGGTCTTCAATTAGTGAGTGAGTGATATTATGTTAGTGTTTCTGTGAGAGACCTGGAGCCCCAGGGGCAGTTGGACGCCCCGTCCATGGAACCTATGGCGTGGCACAAGCACGAACACCACATGCTATCAAAACCTAAAAGTAAGTGCACATTAGACTTTGCAAACAAGAAAATCCTTCTGCAGAAATCTAATTTATACATGCCACTTACTTTAACAATATAAACATAATACAGTTGCTAAATATAAACTGTTCACTAAATATTTATTATTTTTATATTGACAAACGAATGTTCAATACGTACATTTATTAACAAAAATATAATTAATAATAGTTTCAAAACATTCCATTAAGTTACATGACAAATTACTATAATATATCTGCAGAATTTTCTTGTTAATTAATATTGGATTTAAAAATTCTCACTTATTATGTTTTCGTACTAATACTAAACAAACCAAGAATATTTTATATAATAAATGTCAATGTATATCATTTATCAATCAATCAATGTATATCATTTATTTTTTGTTATAAATTAAAATATTGTTATTATAAAAAATGTTTATATACTAACATTTTATTAATTTAATTGTCAGTATTTATTTCATATTTGCCATGTTTTCATTAATTAAATATCGTACGTAAAAACTGTTATGAAACATTACTTATTATTGTGTAATAAAAAAAATGTAACTTTCCATCATAAATTCAAATAGTAATGTATAAATGAAATATTGGGAATTCACCCTTCTTAGTGACAACAAACCACAGTTGTACTATTGAATCATTTTAATTGTGTTACAAATTTGAAATGATTATCCATTATAGTTTTGCAGTGTAATAGCGAAACTTTCCACAAATATCACAGCTATTAAATGAATGTAGCAAACTATGTTTATTTATTCTAGGTTAAAAATCTAACATCTAAATTAGTAGCTACAGCACTAATAAGCTTTATTGATTGCAGCCATTAGGAAACCCGAAGAATTTCCCAATTAGCAAGAAAACAATACTAAACAAGAATCGGAGCAGCTAATACGTTTCTTTGAAAAAAAAAAAATCAAACAGAAAAATAGCTAAGCTTCGGGTTTCGATTATTATATGCTGAAGACATTGACATCCTTAATACCGTTATTTTGTGTCGAATTCGCAAATATCGAAAGGTTAGAAACAGGATTTTTGATTATTTAAAATTCTCGCGTTGCAGCGCGATATCCAGTTTTCGGCTAAAATATTAATGACAAAGCAAAAAAAAAACATTCTCCTTGCAGCAGGAAGGCCGATCCGAAGGATACGTTTACCTTAGTAACGCATTTGCGGTTGTTCATTTAATTATATAATTAACTAAGAAACGACGCAGAGATCACGTGAATCCTTGGTTACTTTCTTTTAATTTTTTGTTGTTGTTTCTGCTGCAGTAGCAGCAGAAAGAAAACGTTCGATTTGTACTTCCCACAGTCATTGATTTCCGCTCTTTAAATTCTTAACAATTAGGAAGGTCACGTAATGACGGATTTTGCTCAGACTTTTTCTTTATTTCTATTATTCACTTATTCACGTGTTTATTTATTCAGTGGCGTTTGTGGAATCGATGATGTTTCGCAATAGTGCACAACAGTCCATTACTTATTTACGAAACGCAATTGCAGTCCGTATATTATTGCGATTCGCGGATCGCTTCAATCGTCACGTCATTGGAGGATGCACAACATAACATGGCATAACCTTACCTAACCGACAGTCCAGACACAATTGGTTTATTGTTGTTGTTTCATCATTTGCACATATTAAATTGCTGTTTGTTTCTCAAGTAACAACGGAAGTCATTGAATCAACTTTGAAAATTAACGATATAACAAATATTTCATGTTTTTTTAAATTAAACATTAATGAACAATAAGAAGTTTTCTGAGGTGATTATTTTTTTATTAAGGGTTTATATTAGTTTTACTTATTTTTAAATATATGTTCTACTTTCTATAAATGTGTATGTTACGAAAAAAAAGCAACTAAAGTAACAACAAACGGAACATTATCTTGCCTTCCTCACTTGATTTGTTTACTTAGTTCATTATCGTCTCGGAGATTGTGTCAATATTAGTTTAATTGGCGCCAAAAAATATTTACTTTAATTACTGTTTCTCCAGAGAACGCGCATCTATGCACACATCTCGAATTACGTAAATTCCTTCAGATTATTGTTCCATTGCTTCTCAGTTCTTTCATAATTTGCTCATTCGACCCGTCGGAATTTTCTATAATCATAATCATTACTATATGCACTTGAAGGAATTCGAATGGTCCCTGAAGCCGGTCCAAATTATCCCTCCGAGGAGTCGTCCGGTCTTGCGTTTGCTGCATGCACCAATTTAATGAGAATTTTGGTGAGCAAAATGTAATGTCCTTCATTTGAGGATTTTGAAATACAAAATACGTCAGAAATAAAATACTTTCACTTGTATTTGACAAGGAAAACTTCTATGAATTTGAACTGACGTTTTTAAAGTGCATATCTATTTACAAACAGTTTAAATAAATTTATTTTCGTATCGTAGATAATCCTTGAACCGAAATAGAAGGCCTAATTTTAAGATGTTGATCCAGTCAAATGCGCACTTAAATCCAACTCCGGTATAACAAATACCTTAAATGCATCTTAAAGTAGTCACATAGGGGGAGGATGTTGAGTTAAGGTCATTAACCCTATAACATTGATTCATAAAACAGATTATAATATAGTTAAGTAACTTTAGACGACAAATACTTTCGAATTGAAATGTAGTATTTTCACTTATTTGCAAGAAAGATAATGATGCGTTTTCCTCTCTGCTGTTATCTGTTCAGGAGGGCCACGGACGCGAGTTGATCCAAGATTGTGCGTTTTTCGCTTATTACTTTTCTTCGTAATAACCTTCAGACTTAGTCTAGTTGCAATCGACGTGCAGTTCGGCCGTTAGTTATTTCGAAGATAATTATTAAATTAAAAGAGTGCGCTAGAGAGTCACCTTCTTCATCATAGACTTCCTCAGTATAATCATCGCGTGCCGGAGATGGACGGTATTATTGTGCTGTACCGGATCTTCGAGACTGTAAAGTAGCGCGCATCAACAAAGTTAACGGATAAAAAGAGATGCGGAGCGAAACCGCGAGTTATTTTTCTTTGCAACTTGCACGATGCGGTTATATTTTACAGCGAAATCTACTATGGGATTTGGAAAGTAAGTAATGGTTGTTTTACTAATTCCTATTAGTTTTGATGCATCTCATACTGAAATCAATTTATACAGCAGTAGTTTTCTTATAGTTGTAACATTTTATGCTTTTATTAGAAATTGATTGCTTATGTTATTGTTTGAATTGCATTGACGAAAGTAGATGTTTTATGCTGCTACTTCTACTAGCTACAATCAGTAATTTAGCAATCGCGACGTCGTATTTTGCTTTTGTTTAATTACGTTGTGGATTGCTTGTGTTGCTGTTTCTTGTCGCGCCCGAATGGGTCTATTAACTCGAGATCGCCGCCCGATAATGCATACTTAAATAGTATAAAAGATATAATGAAAGGCGATTAATATTGAATCATTTTCATTTGGGTGGTCGGAAATTACTTTCAGCGGCGTGTCTCGATTGGTAACGGCGATAAAAGGCGGCCGCCGAAACGGAATACTCTCGGAATTAATTAATCGGCTGCGACTTGATTTATAAGTGCCTTTGTTCTGCATAAACATTTCCTTGTCCTTCTCATTACGTTACATTATTAATGAAAGAAAGCAAAACCATTTTGTGTTTTTTGTTTTGTTTTTGCTGATAATATGACTAGTAGATGATGTCAGTCAGGTATATATGGTTGGGAAAGCACCGATGCGGTTGTTTTAAAAGTGTGGTGAGTGTGTAGTAGGTGCAGCGCGTCGAGGAAATGGCTAGGGCTCATTCTCTTTACAAAGATCGCGGCGGGCTATAAATACCTAGGCGCTTTGTCTCGCTACAAAGCGAAGCAGACGCAACCTGAAAATAGACAGAGTCGACCGCATTGCTAAGAAGTCATCTACTAGCTATTAGCGGACCGAACCTGGCCGCAACTAGCATCCTTAATGCGAAATCATTAGGAAATGAACTCGACTTTGCTTTTGTTGTCCTTCTCTATTTTTTTTTTCCTCCACCTCTCATTTCTTCCTTCCTTCCAGCAAGAACGCTCCGAAACGAAATCGAAATACTCTATACTTAACGCCCCGTCATGATTCACTGCTGCCCAGTATTTATAGTCGGCTCACACCAATTTAGCTTCGTTATGTTTGAAAATATTTCGGAGATTTCCTGTTATTCCCTTAGTTTACTATAATTTCCTTCATTTCGCGAAGCATTGTTAAATAATCGAAACTGAACATTTTCGGATAACAAATCGACTGAAGTAATATGTTTCATAGGATTAAATTAAGATTCATGTTGTTTGCTAGTGGGATCACGTTGCTGACGAAAAAAAAATCACAGACAGATATTATTTTTCTTTACGATTCAATCCAGGACTAAAGCGGTGTATTTTACGATGATAAAATAAACGTACAAATAAGGTTTCAAGTGCGGCTGGGAATAAAAATCTCGGTTTCGAGAGGGGTTGTGGATGGTTCGTAAGCCGAACCCCATCCAGTCTAATCACTTAATGACGGGCCACTCGACAATGATAGAACGCGACGATTACCTAATGAGTGGTGGTGTATTAATTCGTTTTTTTTAGGTTGGGATATGTCTCTGTTTGTATCCAGATAAATTCCGGCAATTTGCTTGGGCCGCAGAGAGGAGGGCTGAGGGTAGTTTTCGAGAGAAAGACATGCTTCCTCCCCATATCGTAAACTCGCATACGCCTCGCGACGCACTCAAACATCTCGCGAATAATTGATTGCTATTATGTTAATTAAATGCGGCGAGTGTTCGCGCGATAATGCGCGTAAACCTAATGAATGCGCGCGCATTAATCACGAAACACGAATACGGAACGCAACAAGAAAAACTATATAGTTTCGCACAGATATGTATGATATACTGTCTATGCGAGACCGAACTGGCAATAAATATCACGTGCCGACTGAAGCGAATTATAAAAATGGAACAAAATATAACACTATGCGAATAAGTTGAAGGCA